AGGGCGGTATGGATAATGACTAATGTGGTAAGAGATCACTAGGCAAGATTTGTTGGAACTTATGAAAACTAGAGGCTCCAATAGAAGAGGCCATCACAGAGACTTACATTGCTAGTTGGACTTAACCTCGATGGATCACTCTAAAGTCTGTTAACCGCCCAACATACCAACCACTTCCCTACGATTAGTTTTTCCCTTGAGGTCGACAATCATTGGGACAATGAGAGAAAACATTGTGAATTATGGTGAATCAATGTTCCGCAGCAGTGGGCCTGCCTAGAGGAGTTTGTCATAGAACAATGTCACCCTTCTTAAAAAAGTTGAGTTATAATAGTGTGATGGCATACTTTCTGGATCATATCGATCATGAGTGTCCCAATGTCAAGAGTAATGTGAATGAGATTCTATGATTAGCTGATTCAGCTTGTATCGATACCTAAATGAATATATGGGCACTCTACGCAATCAACCATGGCTTATAAGAGTCATTTGACTTTTAAATAGCGTTCTACCTGTCTCTTATAGAATAGGTGCTCTTTGAATTATATATATCACAGTAAACATGACTTGTCTATTGGCATTGTTGACTTTGAGCTTGTTGATTCAAGTTTTTCTTTTTTTGAAATTAGTTGAAACCTATTGAGGCTACTAAGCCCCTAGGGTTGGAGAGACAAGAGAATAAAATTTGAGAAAACACTACTGCATTCTCTTTCAAATGAACTAGATATCAAAAAGAAGCTAGATAACCCTTTACAAGAAAGGGACCCTTTACAAAAAAAAAAAAAAAAACTCTATTGTGCTGACAACTGACCCCTCATTTATGTTATGAGAGCCAAACAAACTAACAATATGATTATACAAGACTTAAAACCTGACAGCATCTTTAAAACTAAAATTGTGTGTAAACCTTTAAAAAAGCTGATTTTTTTAGTGCTGTTAGTCTCCCCCGACGAAACTGGCCTTTGGTACGGACGAACTGAAGAAAAATTTGTGAGAAAATCTTGTATGTTTTTCGTCTATACGAAACCTGAACCGTCGGGACGAACTGAACCCGGAGAGCATTGTCCAGGGACGAACAAATTGGAATTAATTTCGCTCTGTACGATCTTGTCTAGAGGAGTTCATCCCGGACGATCTGAGTATCGTCCTGGACGCACTCCTGCTTGATAAGTATCGGATTGAGATATTTTTTATTCATTTTCTCTATCCGATGTAACTGATCAATTTATTGGATTCTTCAGAATATAGATTTTCTCTACATGGTTTATGGATTTCTTCGCAGATTTTGACGTATTGTATCTGATTTATTGAGCTTTATGGATTTCTTCCTACTGTTTATCGGACTTCTTTTACCGATGGATTAGTGGATGTTATGCGATATGCATTGAGATTACTGATTTCCGTACCTCTGCTTACTAGATTCACGATCTGGGTGCATGTCTGCAATGATTGTTATGGATTTATAGTCATGAATGCATATTGTTTCCAAGTACCGTGCTTTTGAATTTTCAGTGTAGTATTAGGGATCTGCTTGGGCTTTTGAGCTCATTTATATGGGTTAATAATTTCAGGTCAGGGCAAGGAGCTAGGAGATTGAGATTGATCTGGAATCGTCAGGTTTTGTTCTTTTTTTTATATAGTGATTCTATTTGTACTCCAGGACATGTAATTAGATTTATCATTTTCATCGTTGATCGATTAATGTAAGACCTGAGTATTGCGTTATGAACTTTATTGGTGATATGAATTATAATTGTTAACATTGAATGTTTTTAAATCTATAGAATTGTTGAACTTGTTTGTTATTTGATTGCAAGACTATAAATAGCCTGGTAATGATTGATGTTTAATGATTGACTGAAACTTCTTAGTGCGAAGTTAGATCTTGGGGCGTTACAGTGTTTGTTTTTTTTTTTCTTATTAATGGGCTCCTTTTGGATGGGTGCTTTAATTTGAGTCCACAAGGAGAGAGCCATGAGTGTTGTGTTGAGATATTGTGTCTTATTGGCGAGTAGCAAGAACCCCTGAGTGGTGTGACTTCTGATTATTGCTGACATTCAGGGAACAATGATTGGGTACGTGCACAAGTCAGCGTTATTATTGAGAATGGATTTGCCATTCTTTGGTTCGAGGTAACTTCTTCGGTTCGTATGACCAGGGTGGAATCCAACTTCTCGATTTTTCTAGGGGGCCATCGTTAAAACCTGTACAATTGTTACACTAAGAGCACAACAACAATAATATATGAAGAAAAAATAAAAGAAAAATAAAAATAAACGATCAAATAAATAATATATATAATCTGAACTAGATGAAAAAAAAATTGACTAACATAAGCTATATAAATTTAATAGAGAAATTTTATTATTTAACTTCTAATTGTAAATTGATTTAGTAATAATATAAGTTGGAGTATAATCATATACGTTATGTTGAAGCTAGATCCTAACTTAGAGAAAAAGAATAATAATGAGCTTAATGTTACTAACTTAAGAAAAAATAAGAGAAAATTTTATCATTTATCTTCTTTTTTTTTTTCTCTATTTCTTAGAATTCTTTTAACCCAACTTATAAATCATAAGGCATTCCTTTTTTTCATTGGATAAAGTTTCACTCAACTTTATACAACTAAAGTAAGTACATTTACTTTTTGTAAGTTCTTCAACCAATGCTCTTCCTCTCCCTAAATGGACAAATAAAATTTTATTGGGGGGGGGGGGGGGGTGGTTTCAAAATTCCAAATTATGCTTCATATAGACTTTTTTTTTTAGGTTAAGCATTTGCCCACCCTGGGCTATATGGGAATCCACCCATGTTCATGGTTGTTGTTCAAGCATATTGTCATAGATGGATTCTCCTTGGTCAGCCTTTGATGACTTGCATCTTAGAGTGGTTCGAGCTGGTTTAATTTTCTCAACACAAACTACTCGATCCCTTTACCTGAATAAGACTTCATGAACCGGACCCAAATAGAAATAGTGCTCAATATGAAGACAATAAAGGATGCGGATACAAAAGAAAAGAAATGACCCAAACAGGAATGTAATTTGAACAGTTCCTTAAGTGATAACTTTGCCTAAAACTGTACAAAAAAATGTATAAAAAGAAGATAAATAAACACATAACTAAGTCCTAAGAGTGACGTAGATGAAGTGAATAGTTGCAAACTTGAACATGAATAAAAAGATTTGACAAGATGCAATGAACAGGTTAAATATGAGAGTGCATAATTGGAAGTCTTCTGCAATTAGAAAAAAAAAGGTGCATGAAAGTATTAAGGTATATATAAACAAAAGAAAAATTAATATTGTTAGTTTTGAATGGAATCTGATTGTGTCTATCAATCATGTTGTATTGTTGCCTTGGACCTCAATTTAGTATATAGAGTTTGTTGGGGGGTTACAGGGGTCTTTACACTGTTTGGGTTCCGGCGCCCTAGCGTTGTGCACCCGAGCGCCCGGCCGCTGCATGTTTTTCTTGGAGAAAAAACAGAGAGCGGAGCGCTGCGATGCTCTAGACTACAGCGCCGCGGTGCTGTCAGACAGACTGTAGATAGAAAGTGGAGCTGTGGAGCTCAAACTTGGCGCCGCAGCGCTGCAAAGTTGATTGGGAAGTTTTCTTTCATGTTTTTTATTAAAGGCTGTGTCCCTTGGTAGTTGTATTGTATCTCTTAGTTAGTTCCAAGTCGAAAACAATGCAAGAGAGAAGAGAAGCAAGAAGAGAGCGAGAAATAAGAAAGATCTGTACAAATTTCTCTCAATTTTCATAATGAATTTCTTGGTGTTGTGTGACTCCATGGTTTTTTCCTAGTTTCACATTTTTCCACGATAAGTCTTGATGTTCTTTCCTTTATGTTGTATTTTATATTTAAAGCTGAGGAAAATGGCTATAAATTTAGAATGCTTTTTAAGTAAATAGGCTCAACAGCCAATGCAGCAGTTTTAAAAATAGAAATTTCAGTGAGGGGCATTTATATTCCTTTGAAAAAAATAATAATAATATTGACTCCTAAGAACTAAATAAGCAACCAAGACAAGGGAGTCCGCCAGAAACATTTGTATTCATGATAACAATTTTCAATTCAAGTCTCTTAGCAATCGTTTCCCCCCCCAAAAAAAAAAAATTAACCTTAGCAATTCCTCTTTGCTTTTGGTTTAGCAAGCTCTTCAGATCAAGAGCTCCAAATAAAGTGAAAGCGATCTGGCTACCTCCAAAATTGAATTTTAGAGGACTAACCATGAAAAGAATCTGAAATTATGCAAGATAGACACGAGCAGTTGAACTATCTTAATAGGAATTGAAGAAGAAAGAATATAAAGCTAAATGTAATATCTATTTATATTTCTATTTCTTGGGAGGTAATTGAGTGATGAAGATGATTTGGTACAACGACAGCTTACAGACTTCCATTTTCAAGTACATCTAAGCCAATACGGATGAACAGGCCACCAGAGGTTTCTATCAAGCTACTAAAGATCACAACACATCAACCTGAAACCTGAAGATCATGTATTAGCGAGCAAGTTTAGCATCTTCAAAGGAGCTAAAAGCTGAAATCTTGCGTGATCAGCTCTAATTGGCAAAAATACTTAAAGCCAAATGTACTTCGTTCTGTGTCAGCATAAAGAAGAAGAATAATGATCCTTCTAATATTACCATAACATATTGCAGGACCTGTTACTCATCAAACAATGACCAAGCAGGAAGCCCTGTACACAATCTAAACAAAAATAAAAACAATTTTATGTTAATCAATAAAATTCCATTCAAAACTCAGCTAGCAACACATAAAAAAGATACAGCTCCATCCTATCAAGTTAATCCCTGCAAATCTGCAATCAATAAACACTCCAACCTATCACGCAGCAACCCTTCTAAGTCCTAACCTACTCAAATTCAACAGAAATCAGAACAAGAAAAGAAATGATCAAAACCTAACTCCAGCAAAACTCAATCAAGGCGTGAATCGCACGAAAATAAAAGCCTGAGAAGCCATTCACCTGCATATTAACCTTGAGGACATCGAGTGGCGTAACTGCGAGATGCGTCGTTCCAGCGCTTAGCATTCCACCAAATGCGCAAACCGCATAGTATTCTTGCGAGAAGACAGTTAACCCGCCCCGCCGGCGCCCCTTCGCTTCCCCTCCTTCCATCGATCAATCGCAGCTAGAGAGAGAGAGAGAGAGAGAGAGAGAGAGAGAGAGAGAGAGAGGAAGGACTGCGTGGCATCAGCGCAGTCCATGCTGTCATTAGTCATTACTTCTTAGCGACGAGAAATCGGCCACGTCTGCTCCTTCGAAATGGGAGGAAGGAGAGGCTGAAAATCTTTGCTAAAACCTAAAAAGTGGGACTGTGCATTTACTAGATTACCCTTGCATCCCGCTCTTCTGTGATGCGAATTTAGAATTTTCCTATGAAGCCTGTATGTTAACTAGAATAACGGCTATATACAACTAAAAAATTAGGGTTTTTTTTTTATTTTTTTTAAATTTTTTGCCAAATTCGGCTAATTCATAACTTTACCGGCATAAAATATTTTATTTCAGGGCAAAATTATAAGAATATCATCAGAAAATTTGAGAGAGCCATCTAGGCTGGTTTGGGCACATAAAACGGGATGTCCAACGCGATTTGGGAGACAAATTAAAATGTGTCACATTACTCATTCATCTTGTACCGCGGCTCGGTAGTGCTCGGTAGTCGGTATCGCTGACGTGACTGCACCTAATTTGCCTCCGAACTACGTCCGATCTCTGCACATAATAATTTCTCCATAAAACGACGACTTTCCAATGACTCAGTAAGGAAAGTAGATGGATTAGATTTAGTTTATGTTAAGAAAAGTAAATCAGATATAAAAATATTTGATTATAAAATATTATAAATGACATTCCTTTATGAGAGTTAAATAAAAATTTAGCTCTTAACATGACACGATAAAGAAAGAACTTATACAGTCGATCCCATGTACTGAGATCAAGATTTGATGTTGTCGTTGTATAAAATTACAAAAATAACATCATAAGTACGATGTTAGTGTGTGAGTATATTATGCTCTTTAAATTTAATTTTTCTTTAATTTTATTAAACTATGGTCTAATTTGAGTATAATTTTTTGTTTAGAAGTTTTTATTATACTCACTAATTTAGTTTTAATAAAATTTTAATTGATCTCAATTAGTGATTTAACAAATTAGTTTTCTTGATAGTAATGAATATATTCACAACTTTTTTAGTCAAAATTAGCTGCTAAGCATTATTTTTAATGTTTTATTTATAACAAATATAGATGCTTAATCTACCCATCTAATCATTATAAAATATTTGAAAAACTAAAAATAGATTTTTTAACTATAAATGTAAAATTTTAAAAATATTTTATCATCAAATATTAACAAAATAAATAAATTTCACTTTTTAGTCTGTTGATCTAAACATTTACCAAATATTTTATCATAAAACTTTCAATAATATAAACAAATTTTGAAATTGATAATACATAATAAAATAAATCATAAAAAATCAACTAAAACTTATCAGTAAATAAGCATTCCCTTAAACTCTTAATGAGCAAGAAAAAACATACCAATCCCATTTATTAGTATATTGAATCAAAGAAAAATATTTAAATTATTCAATTATTAAGGCTTTGTTTGGGACATCTTTTTTACTGCTTCTTAAAATAATTTTGTAGTACAAATTTTTTAATTTTTAAATTAAAAAGCTGTTTTAAAAAGATATAAAATAACCATCCCAAACGAAGCCTAAAAAAGACGAACATAGAAAGTTGAAAAAATGGGTTAAAACCTGAAATAGCAGACAATGAAGCAAGATGAATACAGGAGAAGACTGCTCAGTTCCATCAACAGAAAGAGAAGATTAATATACTTTTAGTTTCTTTTGCTAAGAGCTCTTGATTTGAATACCAATCCAAATTCAAATCATGGAAATAAAAACTCATAATCCAAATCAAATAGCAAAATCCATTGAAATCATATGCAATAAAGTAATGATGCAGATTGAAAGGCCCTCAATAGATATTGCAGGTTTAGAAATCATCATCATCTTCCTCCTCAGCAATGTGCTTGGCAAGCTCCTGCTCCTGCTGTTGCCTTTCCCTTCTCTTCTCTGCGCTTTCTTTCTCTTTATGGGAATTGGGTGGAAACCTCAGCGCCTTGATTGCTTCATTATGCATGTTTAGGCAGAAAGCAATTCTGGAATGGAAAGCAATCTGAGGCTCATTTGTGGAGTAGATGTCGCCAGTTTCCTTCGATATCATCCATCCATTTGCATGATCAATCGTCGCATCGATTGCGCCATCTCGGATGGCCTTGGCGACAATGCTCTCGGCATCAGCAATAGGGTTATCAGAGTCTAACCTCAGCTTCTTCGCGACGTCGGAAAGAGAGATTCGGGAGTAAGAAATACTGATGTTGCGCAGTCCGGTCCGAATCACATTGTGCCGCAGCCTCACAATTAAATTGTTGGTTCTGTCCGAGCTAAAGGTGCTAGAAAATTTCTCTGCAACAGTCCTGAAAAGCTCCAGATCACCAATTCTTACAGCCTAAAACCAGAATAAAAAACTCATACAGCGGTAGTAGAGGTGGTGGTAAGATGAATGATAATAAAGGGATCAAATACTGGAAAATTATTAGGTGCGGAGACCAGATGTAGAGGTACGCCCGGACTCTAATAAAATATTGACACGTGGAGTGGACACGTTGGATTTATTTTTTACTTTATATGTTTAATGTGTCAAAAGAACTTTAAGCCAAGCGCGCCAAAAACGCAAGTAAAGCGCAGGTAAAGCTCAGATAAACCACAGTAAAAATACACAATAAAAGAGCAGTCAAAATGCAACTAAACTGCAGGCAAAGCGTAACTAAAGCGCAGGTAAACACACACAAAAAAGTGCAACCAAAGCACACTCCACGTGTCAAATTTTAAGTGAATATCCGGAGGTATCTTTACGTCCGATCTCCGCACCTATAAATTTTCTCAAATACTGACATTTGTAAGCTCAAAGTAGGGAGTTAAAGCTTTCTTCATTCCTTTCTGCATGAAAACAGTCCTCTCGGGTATCTCGCCAAGAAGTAATCGTACAATGATGGCCCACTTGTTGCATTGAATTCTGAAGCCTCGAGCTGCCACTGGTGCCTTCCGAGCAGCTTGAAGGAGACTTTCTTTGGCATCTGTGTACTCCAACTGAATGGTTCTTATCTTGCCCAGATAGAATAAATATCTGCAAAACTGGGAAAACATACAAGACTTTCTAACTTCAGCAGGTAGGTTGATTACTGGGTCTTATTGCAGGATCAACACAATTTCATATGAAAATGCACTTATCAAGAATTCATAAGGAATAATTTCCATAATAAAATATCCGATTAATTGTATTGATCAGAGAAATTGATGACACAAGTCATCACCTGTTGATTTGAATGGGCTTCAAAACGTGGCGCCTTGGACCTTAGCTTTTCCGCTTGATCATATAAATTGTAATGAAGGTAGTTCCTAAGAAGAAGATTAAGAAGGGTTTCCTGCCATCAACATAGTATAATTAACATCCTCTTTGTCACTCTTTTGCACAAAACATTAATACAACAAACTGCTAACCTGACCCAGCTCATCATGCCTTAAGGTGGCCATTCTATGAAGGGCAAGAAGGTTTCTAAATTAAATAGAAAAAAAAAAAAGTTTAAGGAACAGCAGCAGTAAGGAAAGAGATGAAATTCCCTATAAATACCAAGCGCTTAAGTAAAATCTCTCTGATTTTTTTTCTAATATATGCACTTATTTCATATAAGCTGTCTAATTTGACCATTAGGCTTCATTTGGACGGCTTTTTTGCTGCTTCTTAAAGCTGCTTTTTAGTAAAAAGAAAAATTTTTGTACTAAAAAGTTATTTTGAGAAGTAATAAGAAAGCCGTCCCAAATAAAGCCTTAGATTAACAATTTACCCACGAATTTCAGCAAGACTGTTTGTGAGTTCATGGCTGTATGAATAATAAAAATATAGCCTAGACGCCAGAATATCAACAGTCCTTCTGTTTATGTTTTTAAGGCGAGCAATACTAGCAGAGGAACAAGCCTTAGCCTGAAAGAAAATACATAGAAAAAAACTGAGGTTATAATAAATCACTATTAAGATTTTGATTTATATGTAAATGAATGCAAGAAAGAAAAAAGAAACAGTCCACCTCGTCATATCTTTTCTGATCAATCAGAAAAATAAGAACCAGCAAGTAACAGTATATCTCAATATCAGGCAGGGAATGCTTAGGACCTTGTGCAGCTGAAGATGCAGTATCAACATCCATATCACGATCATCCTCCTGAAGAAACCAGAATAAGTTAACCGGATGTTGTTAACAAAAGTAGTCAGCACACCAACTATTAGGAGGAAAAAAACAAATAGAATGATTTTTTATAAAAATGCTTTCAAATGTTACATTAATCACTCAGAATAATCAATATTAAACACATTGATCAATAAATTAGTAGACGTGGCAAAAAAAAAACAATATTAATAACCATAGTTGTAAAATGATATTGACATCTACACATATCTTCAATAGAGCATAATTATCATCTTTGTCAATGATGAATAGTGTCACAACACAAGAATCCCGTGAAATTATAGTTTATAGCGAAAAGAATGCTATTTTAAAAATATTGCAATACATTAAAAATAGTTAATAATGTGTTAATAATTCAATAATATAAGAGAAAGATACCATAATATAAAAGATGGTATCAACGACATATATATATAGAACAAAATATTGCTTAAACATACATAAAGGTCAATGAAAAGGAACAATATTTTCATGTTGAATCTTTTTAAAAGTCTATCAAAATTTGACAATTTTCTATTTGTTCTAGCTAATAAATTTACCAATATAGCTTAAAATAAGATGATAGCTTTGAAAATTGAACAATATAAAGAACAATAATTAAATAAACTCAAAGAAACAATATAGGAACACAATATTGCTAGCAATTACCCAAATTAGATTAAGCAAAATAAAATATTCGGCACTTCGATCAATCCCAAATCCTCCTTCCAAGTGCCTTTGTCAAAAGATGTTTTTGCTTACCGCACATGCTCCAACAATAACAACAACATCAAGCATTTATCCCATTACAATGGGTCGGCCAAATAAATCCTTTTTCTCCATTGTATCATGTTAAGAGTCAAATTTTCATTTAAATCTAATAAAAAAAGGTCATTTCCAATATTTTATAACCAAGTCTTTTTAGGTCTACATCTCTCTTTCTTAACATAGACCAAATCTAATACATCAATTCTCATAACTCAGTCATTAATACACATACTCCATGCGGCTAAATTTCTATAAAAGGGAAAAAGAGTGCATAAATCTCATCATCATCATCATCATCATTTAGCATCATTCCAATTATTTAAAGTATCTTAATATCCCGATCCTATATTGCAGATGCTCCAACATCCTTAGGTTTTCCCATTTTTTACAACCTATTTATTGTTTCATAACTAAACTATCAACATAAATTTTTGTATCAGTACAACACAACAACAACAAAAACAAGCCTTTATTCCACTACGTGGGGTCGGCTACATGAATCCTTTTTCTCCATTGTGTCCTATTAAAAGTCAAATTCTCATTTAAATCTAATAAAGAAAGGTCATTCCTAATATTTTCTAACCAAGTCTTTTTAGGTCTACCCCTAACTTTCTTAACATAAGTTAAATCTAATACCTCTACTCTCCTAACCGGGTCATCGGAAGGCCGCCATTTTATGTGACCAAACCATCTAAGGCGACTCTCTCCAGTAATAAAAAAAAATTAATAAAATATATTAAAGATAAAGTTTAATCACTAAATGATAGTAAATTAAAGACTTATTCCTTATTCAAATAAAAGTTGCAGGAAATGGTCATTTCTTTTAACTTGAACACCATAATAACAGAATTTTAATTTCAAAGAATTGCATTTTAATTGTAGATAAATAAGGACAAACATGTTAACTTATGAAACTATTTATAGAAATGGTAAGTAATATTAGGAATATTAGTATTTCATCTAGGTATATCAGCCCTTACAATTGGGGGGGGGGGGGGGGGGGGGGGGGGAGGGGGGGAAAATATATATATATCAGCCCTTACAATTGTTATTCACTGAATTCTTAATGGTGAAAGCAATGAATTTCTAAAAAATAAATATCAGGAGTGCAAACCACATAGAAAGGATGTATATTTGGAAATAAGGTTTAGGAAAATTAAGAGCAGCAAAACCTAAGTTAGTTCTAAAGGAATCCAATTCCTATAGATGCATAAAAAAACAGAAGAGAAAAAACAGAGAAATGGAAGAAAACAGGAAGAGGAGATGAAGGTCTCAAGAGAAGTAAAATCGTTTATAAAAGCTGATTTTATAAGCAAAATATAACTGTAAAATTTGGGAGAGGGAAGTCGCGACCTCTAAAAAGCAAATTAGCAGCTGATGCTAATTTTATTACCTTTGTATCGCACCTGTTGGTGCTGAGGAGTTTTTGTCTTCGTCCTAAAAGACATGTTCAGAATTGAAAAGTGTAGTTTAAAATCTATGGTTTGGGTATTGAACAAAAAATACCTGTCTTTCGAGATGGGGGTCGAATAATGCAATGTATTTTTCTTGAAATGATGAGCTACTTCCGATGGGATGAGTTTTTTGGGTCCCAAACGTGGTTGAGATCTAGCTCAAGGAGCGAAGAAATAAATAAAGTGGTATGAAATCTCGGAACTTCTCGAGGTCTGAACTTCTCGAGGATGAAGACGATGGACTTTTTTGCAGCGAATCATAACTGAGGTCTTTTACATCTTTTTTGTAGCTCCAAACAGTATGAAGCGGGATAACATGATAGGCTTTCTTAGGACGCGAAAAGTAACAATGGGATGCAAAAAATTTCTAGAATGGAGCACGAACTCAGTACCCCAAACAACCCTTCAATTAAATTTCATAATGTAAAGTAAGGAAAACGTCCCCTCAAACGCACCCATAATATATTACTTTATATACAACAACTTCAAAAAACAGCTTTGTCCACAACAGCTTCACAACCTTTACATATAGTAACAACTGTCCCAAAACACCCTTAATCATTTGGGTCATACATTTGATTCCTCTTAGAATTACCTCAATATAAAATATCTATTTTTGCTCTTGACTAACTATATTAAAATACTTCTTCTCTAATCATTTGGCATCCTATCAAACAATAAGAATTTATTAAAAATATTTAGTACCCAAATTCGAGAACTCTCCATTTCTAAACAAATGTCTCATCTACACCTAATCTCACCAACACATCTTCAAAGCTAACTTGATTTCATTTTTGGATTAATCTGTAGCATAGTTCATGATTATAATCACCATGTGTCTCTCCGCCGTTGTCACTTCATCTTTGCCAAATCTACTTCCACCACAAGGAATTTGGTGGGATTAGTTAAAAACATACTTAGGAATATTAAATTTATTATTTAAAAAAGTGAGATGGAGTTTTTGATGAAAAATTGAAGAGTTCGGAGGGGTAAGTTCAAAGAACTGGCAAAACTAGTCATATTTAGACTGACTTACAAGTTCAGTTAGGAATGGGTTTTGAGTGGATAAATGACTAAAAATGATGATAAGAATGAGATTATGATGTGAACTTATGATCTAAAATATATGGTAGAGTTTTTTGAGATTAAATGTCTTATAGTGTTATGGAGAATGAGACTATATGTTAAAAAAAAACCTAAACTAGGTTTAAGGGATTTGAACATGGTTGGGTTGACCTTTTTTTTATGCATGAGTAGTAGATGACTGATCTTAAAAGATTATTAAAATATAGAGAAAGAAGATATAAAGATTTAACAAGAATAACAGTAAGAATAAAATAGATAACCAATCAATCCCACCAAGATTGATCAAAATAGGCCACCAAATACTAACCAAAATAGAATAAATTTTACTAAAATTTTCTTCTCATTCAAAAGCTGAATTTCTCATTACACACAAGTATTATTTATAGAGTTACAATTACAAATGAAATTAAAAAATTAGAGAAAATTTTTCACGGAAAAGAGAGTTGTGGCAATTAAGAGAGAAATGTGACAACCACTTTCATTAATTCATCTTATCTTTATTAAATGTCTAACACATACATGTTCGCTAAGAAAAACCAAACTTTCTAGATACTAAATTTAAATTTCAAATATTAAAACTTTAATTTAATTATTTCCTCATGAGTTAGCTTTTTTAATGGGTGATTGAGCTCTTGCTTCATCTTATCTTTATTAAATGTCTAACACATACATGTTCGCTAAGAAAAACCAAACTTTCTAAAAACTAAATTTAAATTTCAAATATTAAAACTCTAATTTAATTATTTCCTCATGAGTGAGCTTTTTTAATGGGTGATTGAGCTCTTGCTTTAGCATGTTCTTGTGCTTTTATTTACGCTCATGTAAATGAACATTTATCTTTATATGTTGATCTAATTGTTGTACTATATCAACATTTAGCTTTGAAGTTGAGTCCATTATTACGGAAGAAGCACTCATATATCAAGCTGCATTCAAAGATTTCTAATTAGATATGAATGATAACCCCCCTACAAAAGATACTTAAATTACCTAAGAAGATTTGAAAAAAGTCGCCCTCAACTGTTAGAATATTACTCGAATTTAAACTATACGGAGCAGAGTTCAAATGAGCTCAGGGGAGTTGATGTAACACAACAATAAGATAAAACATATGAAACTAAAAGTCCAATTAAAAGAGCTTAAATAAAAAATCAAGAAGACGCTAAAGCTAAAGATCCAATTACAAGAGCCCAAACAAGAACCCAAGAAGATGCTAAAGTAAGAGCCCAATCAAATTTCATTACAAGAGCCCGCTCATGAAGACATAATTAAATTAGAATGTTAATATTTGAATTTTAAATTTACATATAGAAAGTTTGATTTTCTTAGGAAATATATATGAGTTAATCATTTAATAGAAATAAAATGAATTAATAAAAGTGACTGTCACATTTCTTCATTAATGGTCACCTACTCTTTTTTCCCAAAATTTTTCTCTTATTTTTGAATTTTAGTTTATAATTGTAACTCTATAAATAGTGTTGGTATGTAATGAAAAATTTAGCTTTTGAATGAGAAGAAAACTTTGGAGGAATTTATTCTCTTTTGATTAGTACTTGATGACTTACTTTAACCAGCTTTGGAGGGATTAATTAGTTGTCTATTTTATTCTTACTGTTATTCTTATTAATTTTTGTATTATTTTTTCACTCTAATTATCTTTTAAGACCAATCATCCATAATTCAAGTATTAAAAAAGTCAACAACTCTGTTTAAATTCTTTAACCTATTTAGTTTTTTTTACATCTAGTCTTATTCTTTCAAACCACAATAAGACCTTTAACCTCACAAAATTCTATCATATACTACAAATCATATGTCCACATCTTAACCTTATCCTCCATCATTATTTTCAACAATTTATCATACTCAAAACTCATTCCCTAAGGTGAACTTGCTAGTCACCCCAAACTATCCCAAACCTTACTAGTTTTGACATTCCTTTAACCTTACCCCTCCAAACTTCTCATCATTCCACAAAAAACTCCAGATCACTTATTTAAATAATAATTAAATATTTCTGAGTATTTTGGTTAACTAATCTCATCAAAAGGCTTCCCATTATTATCATATTTTAAAGATTATGCAAGCTGCATCAATTTTAAGAATATTAAATACATAGTTCATTTATAGTTATGAACTAAGAAACAAGACTTTCTTAAAATCTACGTAAATAAAGAGACTTTTTCAAGATGTATTGCATCAACCAAGGAACATGAAATCTATAGAAATAATATATAAAAAAGATGACAAACAGCACAGAAGAATTGAACATCTACTTCTTTTAAATATGACTAACAAAGTTATCAAGCGACATCAAAAAACCATCACTTAGCCAAATCCACCTCTCTTCTAAAGCTTGCTCCGCATAAACTAATAATTCTAATAAAAAGACAAAAAAAAAAAAGAACTCTAGCAAAACATATTACCAAGTTATTTCATCAAACAGAAGTTCATGTCTCCATTGAACAAACAAAAAAAAAAATCCAGCACTCCCTACAGAAGCAAAATAACTTGCCAAAACATTAACTAGTCATACCTTAGGCAGGTAGGAAGACAACTTGGAATGAGCTTCTGAGCCCGGAGCGAGGGCAAAGTTGAGGAAAGCCGACAAAGTGGCAGCTTTCAGCTTTCGACGAAGCATGATCGTTAAGCGCACAGCCCGCACGATCCGCCGCACCTCCTTCGCATAGGCCCCAGTCTCGATAAGAGATGCGATCTCCTTCAGATCTGTAGCCAAACAAAAACCAAGCACAAACTTCCCCAGTAATAATCCAAAATCGAAAAAAAAAAATCAAAAGTTACACACAGAAAGTCGAAGATACAACTCACGCTGAAGCGTGGATGGTAAGGAGGCCGAGGATACTGTGTTGGAGACCGCCTGCGCCTCTTTCATCTCCACCTCTTGAGTCATTCCGTCCTCTCTGTTGAAAAACCGTGGAATTGGAGTTGAGAAGAAGAATAAGGCACCGGAGGTGGAGAGAGTGGTCGACAAAAGAAGATAACTTACTAGGGTTAGGGTTTGGGCGAAGTTCAGTTGATATTCTTCCGTGCTCCGTCCTTTTTCTTCTCAATGCCGGTCGAGCTTCTATTCTGCTACTAGCCTTCTCACAATAAGAAATGTTGCTTCCAATACCAGTGGTTTACGTGGCTCATATGGGCCAATGCTATGTAATGTAAGGCTACAACAACAAGGACATGAAATTTCATAAAATCTTCACGCACATGTTTGAGAAAATTTACAGCAATAAAATACTTGAATCAATCAGTTTATTTAAGTTTAGAAAATTTCAGAAATTCAAAGAGTAATAGAGATTAATGCTTTCTCAAGTTTAGAATTAGGGGTGTCAAAATTTGACTCGACTCGAAACCCGATCCAGACTTGACTCGACAAATTATGGGTTCGGGTCAACCCGTTTGCATTACAGGTCGGGTTTGGACTCGAGTTTTTAAACCGTTTGCAAAAAAAGGGTTGAATTTGGGTTGATCCAGAAACCAGAAATCAACCTGTTTTGACCCGGGAACTTGACCGCGTTGCCATCACGTCATGCCAGCATTGTCGCGTCGCCATCAGGCCATCTCGTCGTGTCAGCTCGCTTCAGCATGGTAGTCGTCTCGCGAGACCCATCAACCAAGTCGGCACCTGGCAGTCGAAGGTCGCACCGGCATGCCTCTCCGACACAGCCGTGTCTCCTCCGTCTAATCAGGCAGTCTCACCAGAGCCAATTCACCTTGCCCGCCGCCTCAACCCAAGCAGGTTGGCCTCGCCTGTTCGCATCAATTTTCGCAGGTCAGGTCAGGTGAACTCGTAACCCACGCGGATCGGGTTCGGGTTGAAAATCTAGACCCATTTGTAAAATTGGGTTGGGTTCAGCTAGACCCATTTAGACTCTAATCAACTCGGATTCGACCCGAATCAAACTCGTCGAACCGTTTTGACATCCCTATTTAAAATTTTTGACACAAATGCCTCTTCGAATTTTTTTTTTTAAGAAAATGAAAATTTCTTTCAAAAAAATATAATGCATTCTATAGATAAAATACTTACTCTTTTGATATAAATAAATACAATTAAGATAGTCATAATGTCCATGATGGCATCAAAGATATAAATGATGATGGCCATTCATGTTAGCTTGAAAAATGCTCAAGAGTTAGCATGACATAATTGTTTGCTTCTAAAAATACACATAGATATATGCACTATTTGTTATAAATATGGTTAAGCATTACCAAATTCTAATTAATATTATAGAGAGTTCGTATAGGGGTTGATCATGCCATTTTGTGGCTAAGTAATAAATATATAAAATCAAGTAAAATTAACTCCAAGTTAATCCTTTTGGGTCCTTTAAAATTTTTGTTTCACCAAAGAGCATTTGATTGATTAGATTAAAGTTTTTATGATTCTAACAAAGAGAAATTAAATGAATGAGATAAAAGGCATACAACATATCATTCCCCTTGTCTAATATGATTAGAAAATATGAAGATTGAGCTTAGAATTGGAGTTAAGTAAGCTACACCTAAGTTCATTTTCTCAAGCACCCCCTTGAAGATGATTTAGACTAAACTCCTTGTGTTGGACAAAATGCTCCCTATATGGTCATTGGCAACTAGAGTAGGAAAAATTAGCGCATCATTTTTGGGATTTAGATTCTTCAACCTATCAGCTTTAGTGAATGTGCTTAGTACAACTTTAGTATAAGGCCTTCTCCAACCGAACTCTAAACGCATGAATAGCGTCGCTCGTGAGCTCCAGCCAAACAACAAAACTTATGATATTTGGTTGCAGGTGAACAGTGCGATGCTAATATTAGCGTTGCACTGTTCGCCTGCATTATTTTTTTGTCTCTATCAAATTTGCCAAAAAATAAAACACACAAAAGAGAAAGACGGATACATTATGCAAAGGATGTGAAATGGAGTTCGATTGGAGATGAATCACTTCATTTTTTAATTTCACTGCATTTTGAAGTGAAAAGTAGAATTTCGGTTGGAGATGCCCTAAGGAACTCTAGATGTGATCATCAATTTCACCTCTCCTAATCAAAGTCATTTGAGACTTGCTTAAAGGGATGTTTCTAATACTACTCATATAAGAATGGTTGGCATATAAAGAATAATTTGCCATTGATACTTGCATTCTTTTGAAAAATTATTATGTGCGGTCACCGGACAGTTCGGAGGCGAATCAAAACGTGCCACATCACATGATATACAACGATACACAACGACAAAAAGGTGACATGGAGCGCTCTGATTTGCCTTCGGACGGCATTCGGTGTCCGCACAGAATAAATTTTCCATCCTTCTAACTTGTCCTAGAGCTACAATTATCAGAATGGCATCATCTTACAAGCAAAAGAAATAACTGAATACAATTAAGAACTTGAACAATACTATAGCATTCATGGAATGTAGCAAAGCCACACGCAAAAGCACAGCCGAACTATAGAGAAATCGTCAATACACTTCATACAATTCTATAAATAAATAAAAGAATGCACTGCTCAATTAGTCAAACGATACAATTAGATTGACCTAAGTAAAAAAAAAAACAAATAAAAAAACAAGACTCTGATCTCCTATACCTACAAAAACAGACGAGAAACTTGCAGGCCAAACCACAAAGACCTTATAGATCAACTCCAGATAAATACACCCATGAAAAGCAACAATCCAGTTACAAGGAGCAGGCATCCAACACATTAAACAAAGATCTTCACTGGATTTAGCTATTTAGGCTCCGCCGCCATCTGCATGGATAGGTCCATTTGATCGAAAATCTCGGCCCCTTCCTCGACCTTGACCTCTCCCACGCCCGCGGCCACGACCTGCAAGCAATTCATTGAATGCTAAATTTTTATTCAATATGTTCAAATATGGAAGCAAAACTTCTACCTAAACAAACCATGGTGTATAGAAGCAAGTGAATTAAGGCATATAAAAATTCCATTCTCACAACATGAATATTTTACTTAAAGAACAAGCTTTTGGGATAAATTCCATCCATTGGTTTGAAGCCTAGTCCCACCCCTGTTTTCTAGGATTAATTATTTTGTGTGGATGTCGAATGCCGTCTGGAGGCCAACTAGAATGCACTACGTCGCCCTTGTGCTCAGTATTGCTGACGTGACACATTCTGGTTGGTCTCCGGACGGTGTTCTAAGTACAGTCTTCGCACAAAATATTTTCTTGTTTTCTAGGAGGCATCTTACATTCACTTTTGGCTTCCACATGTATCAGTTTATGGTCGATTGAGATTATTATTCTTTGCTTGTCCATTCCTTTGTTTTGTTCTTATATTGAAAACAAGATAGCATAAAGAACTCGCAGTTGTTCCATGCGCAGAAAAAGGATACAGAAGTTTAGTGCCACATACTATATATCTTTTAGTTCCAAAAACGAAAACCTAGAATAGGGTACTGAACACGCTGATATTTTACTTCATAATTTTACATTAACTATTTGGTCCAAATGTAACTAACAGTAAATAGAATTTTCCAAAGAAACTTTAACTAATGCACTTTTCATTGATAATTTCATATGCAATCGTAGTAAAAAATAGGAAACAATCATATAGTTATTGTTGTGATTTGAACGACCATTTTCACAAGAAACAAAAACCTTACTTTTTCATCAACCAAAAAAGAAAAAAAAATATATATATATATGTTAACATTCTCAACCAAAAAAGTGAGGCAAAACCAAATTCAATTCAATTACGTGATCATTTTTATAACAATTTCCATCTAATTCCTTCAAACCAAGCAGAGCCCCAGGGAATTAGGAGCCCCATGATGCTTTCAATAGATGCGTACGTCTAGAAAAAGTTTCAATATGCCAAGATATTCGTCCAATTTACGGACAACATACGAGTCATGTTTAGGGCAAACTTGAATTATGGAGGTCAGCTTTAGTGTCTAAAGATTTATGTTTGAGTTGATCTAAAATCGAATATATGAAGTGTAATTTAAGTAGTAATAAATCTAGTGGAGGGATTGTGACATTGGACGATCAAGTCATTAATAAGAACACGTTTTTAGATATCTTGGGTCTATTGTTCAGAGTGATGGTGAAATAGATGAGAATATTATTATTAGAATTCAAGTGGGATGGTTGAAGTGGAGGAATGCATCAAGCTTGTTGTGTGATAGAAAAGTCCTCCTCAAACTTAAAGAAAATTTCTACAAGATGGAGGTGAAACTTGCAATACTTTATGGTGCATAATGTTGGCCATTAAAAGAGAAGCATAATATTAAATAGAGTGTATTAAAAGAAAAGCATAATATTAAGTTCAGTGTTGCAGAGATGAGGATGCTAAGGTGGATGATTGGCTTTACTCTTAGAGACAGGATACGAAACGAGCATATACATGAAAAGATTGGAGTAACTCTAGTGAAAGATAAGATTAGAAATAGTCGCCTTAGATGGTTTGGTCACATAAAACGGCGGCCTTCCAATGACCCGATTAGGAGAGTAAATGTATTAGATTTGGCTTATGTTGAGAAATGTACATGTAGACCTAAAAAGACTTGGTTGGAAAATATTAGAAATGAACATTATTTATTAGATTTAAATGAGCATTTAACTCGTAACACGACACAATATAGAAAAAGGATTCATGTAGCTGACCCCACATAGTGGGATAAATGTTTGATGTTATTGTTGTTATGTTTGTTTGTATAAGTCATGTGAATAGGAACCGAATTATTTTTTTAAGATAAAATAGTTGAAGTGCCAAATGAGGTTGCTAGAAAGTGTTCTGGTAAGTGTCCAAACATGTTAAGTTAAGCCATTTAGGAAATATGTTTAATACGGAGGTAGCCGCCCTAGTGAAGATCTTTGATGAGAAATTTCTATTCATAGATGGGAGGAAGATGGATGGAACAGAAGAAGACATAAAATAAAGTATCGTGACGCAGATGATGCCTATGGATGAGCCTTTGGGCAGGGATCCAATGATCTTCATTCGCACACCCATCTTTATTTTGAAAACACATACTATCTTATTAACAGCTCCCATTTGGAAACTTTGGCATTGTCAACCAATAGGGAAAGATCAGCCTTCCCGGGAGGAAAGATCAGCATTCATTATTTCTTATTTATATATGTGCCTTAACATATACCACCATTCATAGATAGCATGTGCTTGTCTACACAAATTAATATATTGATGCCAGCAAGTTCTTTCCCAGTTGAAGGAAAATTCAGATTGGAAACCCTAATCTTTATATCAATGCTCAAAATAAGAGGATGATCATAGACTTCTCATATCCTACAAGAAAAAAAAAGATCATTTCGCTTTACCATCAAGGTGGCTCAGGTTACACAGAGCCCAAGCTTACACCAAAGATTTGTGTTTTTTATAATACCATATTACTTTATCATTGCATTCACCGCCTTGCACTAAATACTACAATCGACAGCCAGTTCAATTCTAGAGCTCACCATATTGAAGCGGTAAAGAACATCACCCCATCTTTAGAGCCTATCTATCATAAATTATGCCAAACTTCTGGATCCAGGAATTAGCACTGAAGAAGATTGAAGTGGTTTTAATTTTAATTAATCCAAAACAATTGCAATGGAGTTTACTAGGAAAAAAATGCAAAAAAGATAAAGTTTTAGATCCATATGTGATACCTATTGAGATTTAAGGAAGTTTGGGTGATATTATGACAGTTTTTATAGCCGCCGTCACCACCCTACAAATAAGAGGGTCGAATCCACGTTTTTTCACCATTCAAATGATTCATATTTCTTGAAACTATGTGCCTACAATACTCGATTGATCTCTAGTCGTTCATCTCAAATTGATTATCTCAAGGGGATGAGTTGATCCATGTAAAAATGGCAAGACAATGTTGTTGTTTTGACAAGTCCATTTAAGAGGTGACACTACCGGCCTTTGATCATACCAACATACACTCGTTATTAAGCAATTCATTTCATATGATTTAAAAGTTTGAAGTTGTTATGTCTATGATAATCCGACATTACGCAAGTCATTCATTGCTAAATAATCCTCTCAAAGTAAGGAGTTGATCCATGTACATACGCTAGGACGTTGTCGCAAATTTATGACAGGTTCATTCAAAAGATTACAAACCTTCTCAAAATTATTTTTCAATCTGAATGTCAAAACTTTGATCAACACCATCAATACACTCATAAGATTGTCTCCCATAACATAATATATCTAGATCAACAACTAGATACATAGTTGCTACCATATGTTGAAGTTGACCCGAGTTTGGGAAACATCATCTAATAATAATTTGATCATAGAGGAGAAAGATCTCCACCATTCTTAGTTGATAATTACAAATCATATTTTGAAATAAGAATGAAATGAGAATTACAGCACAACGGAATCTCAAAATAGGAATGGAATCTCAAAATAGGAGCTCCTTCTTTAGCTCATTTGACATGCATTTCTGTACAATGGAATGAACTCAAATGAGAAATCCCTCATCTCAGCCGATGGGGTAATCATTTAACCCGCCATAATATTGATGTCAAACATGTCGCAAATGAAAATAACAATCAGGTAGACTGAATCCCTTCAAAACTAAACAATACTCTTCAACAAATATCTTATTGGTTCAATAACATCAAACATGATGTAAATGACAACAACAATCCACCACCCGCCATTACGTAAAGATCGAATAACATTTGCTACTAATTCAAAGTTGTTCTACCACTTTGATAGTTGTTTTATAAATGACGCATATGGCGGCTCTAAAGAAGCACTCACCGTTTCAAGTACATACAATATTTAGGAACACAACCATCAAAGCATCATATCAAAAATACATTAATTCGTGCCACACGGGGACACCCATCTACCCACCACACGCTCTTGTTATGCTTTAGCGTGAGGTCAAACCTTGGGGTCCTTGGCACCTTTTTGACTACCTAGGGGTTGTTTAGTATCGGATTTGAAGATGAATTTACACCGGATTTACGGTAAATCCGGCCAAACAATTTTTGAGCGCCCTGTAAATCTCGGATTAATGAATTTATGATGTAAATTCGGGATTTAATAAATACCGTAGTTTGGCAGAATTAACGGGATTAACGATCTCCAAAACTCTCCCGCCCACCCGTGTCGTCGAGTATCTGATGTGAAGTACGCTAAAGGGGTGAAATATTGTTACCTTTCTTGCGAACAAGCTCTTGTCGTTACTTCGGATCCAACATCATCAAACTATAGTGCTTCCATCTAACTGGAAGGAACGTTGTCGGAGGAGGAGAAGAAGCTAGTGACTAATGTAGGCAACGTTAAATAGGCCGAAGGAGGCAATGTCAACCAACAACGAAGATGTCGAAAAGAAGAGCAAATCACATTCAAGCGCAAGGAAACAATCCTTCGAAGCTATGTTGCACCGATACGGATACGGCGACACGGATACGACACGATACAGATACGGGACACGTCATATCTTAAAAATACAGGATACGGGTACGGCGCGGACACGACATTATAATTTATAAATCATACATAAAAATTAAGAAAGCAAACAAAGCATAATATTTGAAATTACAAAAAAAAATGACAACAACATCATTTGTAGCCTTGTAGCTTTTAATATCAAAATATAAGCAAGCATTAAATGTCTAGTACAACAACAAAAGCATAAACATAAATTATCTAGCACTTGAAGTTTCAACTATTCAATAGAGGGAATTATATAATTATCTTCTTCATTGGTTTGTCTTTGAACTTATATATCATCTTCAATAAATATCATAGCTTCTAATTCAGGCTCATCAAGTGAAATATTAGTAAATTTTAATATTTTCATATCATCAAGAGACTCAAATCCATCTCGAAAATGAGAGAATCTTGCTTGCAACCGCGGAAGCAAATACGACACGTCTTTTTTTTTCGGATTTCTTTTTGTTTTTCAACGGACACGCGTATCTTAAATAGTATTTTAATTGGATACGGCTTTGGTGTATCCGACACGTATCGGTGGAGTATCGGAGGCGTATCCGTGTATCGGTGTATCGGATACAACACGCCTTCATAAATAGGTGTATCGGTGCAACATAGCTTCGAAGCAATGATAGAGAAGAATTCCTTTTTTTAATTAGGAATTATTTTAATTAATTTAACTAATTTAATTTAAATATAAATAATTAATAAAGTAATTAGTTATATAAATAGTAATTAAATAATAAGTTTGTAATAGAATACTTAATTGATTAATTAAATACTTAATTAGTATTTGACATTTAACTAATTAATTAGATAACTATAAGTATAATTATTAATTAAAAATTTAATATGATTAATTAGTAATATAATAAGTAATCTAATTTAGCTTAATTAAATAAATAGTAGAATAATTATCATTAAATTAAATTAATCAACATTTATAATTTGTTGGTTATTATAGTTATTAGTAGTATAATTGTCATTAAATTAGTTTACTAAAATAATTAATTAATTATGGTTTAGTAAACCCTAAATTAAATAATAAGTAATATAAAAAGTAATTTGATAATTAACATCTAAATAACTAATTTGATAATTAATAATAATTATTCTAACTTATAATTATATTATTTATCAGTCCAACTTATTAAAAGTAATTAAAATTAAAGTTGATAATTCACTCATAGTTAATAAAAAATTAAATTCAAAGCACATTAAATTTAATTTTTAACTGAACCAACCGCCTTTAATCCTGGATTACGTTGTCAAAAAGTTTCTCAAGATTTAACATATGTCATACCAAACAATTTTCAAGATTTAACACCCTCCGAATTTACTAAATTCGGATTTACAAAATTTGCTAAATCCCACTAAAGTCAAATCCAATCTGATACCAAACAGCCCCTTAGAGACATCTTTTATTTAAGCCCCTCTAATTTCTCAAAAATGAACCACACTTATATTATATTGATTTTTTACAAAATTAGTAGACCATTGCAAGCAGGATATACCTTGTATTTTTCCCATGCAAGGACCTTCCACATAGAAATCCATATATCTTTTATCATGTATGCGTAGAGAATCATTAAACCACAAAAAATGTCTATCATTAAATTCAAAAACTTCTTGCAGCATTTAGTAGAAATAAATTTAAAAATAGGATTTATTAAACCAAAACCAAATAATCAGGATAAGCTAATGATGATGATTATACAAAATTTCTTTGACACTAAAAAAATTACACTTAAAACGCCCAATTTTTATTACCCAGGAATCACAAAAAGAGGCCAAAACAATGTCTTAAAACATTAATGTAATTTAGACGCTTCCTATTTCTCAAAATATCAACTCTCTCAAATTTCTCCTTATAATCATAGGTTTCGAATTAAAAAAGAACTTATGCAAAAAAAAACAAATACAACACATAGGAAAATCGATGATATGAGTAAAGGGCTAGATTGACTCCACATGTGGAATTCACATCACAGGATCAGAGCAAAACCATCATGGAAGGGAATAGTGCTGTCAAATACCTCGTCCATGAACAGGAACAGAATATTCTTCATTATAACCGCCATTCTCTTGTTGGTAATAAGTTCTACCTCCATACCCTCCTCGGCCACGACCTCGATAACCACGCCCTCTACCACGATTCCAACCACCTCTTCCATACCCACGATTGTCCCATCCTTCATCATTGTAATCCATAGCCACGAATCCATTTCCTATTTACCATACAATGCATTGTAAAGAACCATAACATAAAGGTTCAACAGTTAAAATAATAAAATTGAATGAGACACCAACATACCTCTGCTGCCCCTCCCCCGATTGTAACCACCACGGCCTCTTCCTCGACCACCAGGAAAATCCTCTGAAGGTGTTATGAGATAATTAAAATGAATTCCATATGGAAATATGAACAAAGTCTAAATATGCAGAAGTGCAATTTGTACCTCCTTCATATTCAAAGTCAGCCAATGGTTTCACCTGATCACTTGGAATAGGCAATTGGTAGCTGTTAAGCAAAATAAGCAATAGAACATCAGAACACCATAATATCCCACAGACAGCACAATAATACTGTGATGTATTTCAATATTTAGAACTGTCAGAAGTAGGCAAGGACTTTGCTCCGAGATCATTACATAAAGAGAAGTCACATAAATTCAAGTATATATCAACTTTTTATAAGAACAAAAGCAAATGAAGCTAAAAGGAATGGCATGAAAGTTCTATTGTAAAACTGTGCAAATTGAATACATCAGCACAAGTAATTGAAATAAATAGAATTGGAGGTGAAACGTATTACTTGATACTTTTATGGCTTAAAAATACTGCTGCTTATTTAAGCTATAACTATGAAGTTACAAATTGAAAATTAAAGTGTCAAAAAATAATATCAATTGACTAAGGCTTTGTTTGGGACGGCTTTCTTACTGCTTTTTAAAGTAGCTTTCTAGTACAAATTTTTTTATTTTTTTTATTAAAAAGCTGCTTAGCAAGAAAGCCGTCCCAAACGAAGTCTAAATTGCAGATATAAGAATGAAAACCGTGCTATAAGTCTTACTAACCCAGAAGAAGAGGTATCCAACTCCTCCTTCGACAAAGTAATTGTCATCATAGACACGTGCCTTGTAGTTTCAAGCCTAGGGAAAAAAAAAAAACCCAGTATTAACATTACATAACTTTATCTGCTGCGTAAAACATAATAGTTTTATAAAGGTTTTTAATACAATAATCTATCATAAGTATTTAAATCTTCAATATTAGTTATGATCTTACGGAAGTAGGCCTTCTTCTAAAGGCTCCCAAGTGTCAGTGATGTCTGCAGATTCAATTTCAGTATTCTGATGAAGACCAACAACCCTCCTCTGTGAATGTGCAACAAAACACAATAAGACATCAAAATAGCCTTAACTTACAAATAGAAGTTTAGGATAAAAAATGCTCAACAAAAGCATGCAGACTAAGTTAAAGCACCTTTATTAGCTCCACAATCATGACAGTCTTGTTAATGGCTCTTCCCATAGCCTTAAAGACGATTTCATTTGAACCTTTCTCCTAGTAAACAAACAATTGAATGTGGTTATTTACTTTTGATTACAATTTTAAATGTAAAAAATAGAACAAACTATTCCCATGTAATTCAAAATCAAATAAATTTGAACAAAATTCGCACTATCCATGATGTAAGCATGATTAAAAAGTAACATGAGTGAAATCTTTTGGGACAAAAACTGGAAATGAGCATGCATCTTAAAGAAAATTTAACTACATAGCTGTGAAGATAAAATGCACCAACGCCAATAAAAGCATATCCTTATTATCATCATTGTTAGGCAGAAAATTATTTTAGGTAGACTTTACTGAGTCCCTCTCCTTTATTGATTCTTATTTATTGCTACCCATGTTTGTGCAAGTATCTTCATACAGCATCAGGACATTTTACCATTGTTCCTACCCTTTATTGATTTTTTTTATTTAGGTAGACTTTGCTGAGTCGCTCTCGATTAAATTAAAATATATTTAATAATTAATTAAATTAGTATTATATAATATATTTTAATAATTTAAATTAATTATATAATAAAAATTAAAATTCTAAAAAATGATTTTTTTAATTTAAAACTAAGAAATCGACCTCGAGCTTTTTAAACGAGCTCGAGCCTATGGATTTTTTTAATGCGTCGAGCTTGAGCTTAGTAAAAGTTAAACAAGCTTAGTTGATTAGGCAGATACTTGAATCAACTCAACTCGTTTACACTTCTAAATTAGTCATTACATGATGAAAAATTGTATTTTTATAATGGCCGGGAAAATAAGATCTAGTTCCCAAGAACGTGTTTCCTCAAGTGTTCAAAGTTACCATATGATCTAAATTCAAATAGGCTTACATGCAACACTGATGAACCCTGGTTAATACTTGCACACAAGAAGCCACAAATTGACTGGAAACAACCTCAACCAAGTTTAATAAGGATACAATGGATTAATGACTTAGCTAAAGATGAAGAGTTTCTTTCCAATTCAACCCCTATCAGAAGGATTTTGATCTTATGTGTTGGCAAGAAACCAAATTACAAGCAAGTGATAATAAGTTATATTTTTTTCCTCAAAAAAGAAACTGAAGTTTGTCCATTTAAATTATAAAAAAGTTATTTGGCATTTCTATGTTCCATCTTAGTGGGTACTAAGTTTCTGTTGTTCTTCATATGATCATGTACAACAAATCCTCTATGAATTTTATTTATGCTACATTATTTTTCTAACAGCTAGATAGTTAATTTTTAGCATGAATAAGCAAAGGATGTCAAAGAGATCAAGAAGAAGTTAAGTGATAGCTATGATAAGCGTTTCAAAGATTGGTTATTCCTCAACTATTATTATATCAAGGGTATCGTACTACTGTTAAATCTTGTTGTTATCTATATTACTTAACACACAACATTAAATCAAATTATATTGTGGTTTATAGTGTTTTTTAACACCCTGAACCATTTGAATTTGCAATGTTTGATTGGATTATACCTATAGTTAGTGATAAAAAAACTACTGTAACCACATGTATGAAAAAATAAATATTTTTTTAGACATATTTTAAAAATGATTTTAGAATTAAAAATAAATATTGAAATTTTAACTATATTCAGCCAAACGAAGGAATCAACTAAATTGTGCCATTGAAAACATGTTTTTTGACTTCAAGAGATTAATGATTATCTAAGACAAATTAAGCTCTATCCTCCTCAATAACTAAATTTACAATTAAAATATTTATTTTATTACAAATTTATCTCATTATCAAATTAATATTAATGGAATGTTCTTACATTTGTGCAGTTGGAGCATGTGAATTTTCACTAGCTAAATACAAGTTCAAGATCTCTCAATCCAATTAACATGATGCACAATGGTGTTCAATTCTTCTTCTTCTTCATCTTGTTTTCTTGGGTATTTATTCTTAATTTTGTAATGATTTTTTTTTAATTTTTAATTGTTAAGGATTATTAGTTTTATTTGAATTAGAAGAAATAACTTTTCAAATAAAAAATGGGATTTTCCTGTGAGGATGTTGGATCTTGGATTTGGTCAGGCCTCCACTATAGAGCTCTGAGATCCTTTAATTGGCTCATCCTGCATCCTTTTATTTAAAATAAAAAACTGCTTATATAAATTCAGAAGGTGGAAGAGCTAAAAAATATTCCAGCTGTTATTGTCATAGTGGAACGTGAAAGACTTTAAAAACGGTTTGGAATATAAATAGAAGTCATATACAAATATTAACCCATTATATTCAATGCAACAAGAAAATATTTTGTTCTATTCACCCTATCTAGTTCTTAAGATTACTTTGTAGGTTCAATGAGTGTAGACTTGTTAAAACCTATTCTTGATTGTGCTACAATAAAAGGTGATGAAAGAGCCTCGAAAATAGAATTAATGAGTGGTAAAGGATAAATCTCACACAATGCAATATTTTTTGCTCTAAGGGCAGAAACTAATCTCAACTCAGGTTTTCACTCTAATAGTAATGTATCTGTTCTACTACTAATCTTTCTCTACTTATACGAATATATTCATCCATTTATCATGTATGGTATATGTAAATATTTCCAAAATCAAGAACAAAGTGCATGAAAATCATGCCAACAAATCTCAGTAAATGCAAAAATAATTCTCCAACAACTACTGATATATGTGTATAGCATAACCGGGCATACCAGAAGCAGATTAGTTGCATACGAGATGTAACTGCGCATCCTTCCTTGGGAAGTTATCCGGATTTCATTTTCATTGATCGGGGTCTCCTCCCTCGGTTTCTCCACTCTCTGGTATCGATCCATCTAATCTGACCCAAAATAATAAACTTCGACATCAGACACCGTAAAGTCAAACGATACCATATCAAACCGAATGAATCGCATCAAAGCATCGCAAAATCTAATTCCTTCAGCAAGCCAACATCAAATTCAACAGGAATAAGAACAAAAAAAAAGGAATATGCCGCAACGAACAAATTATAACATATCCCACAACAGAGCGTATTACGGTTTAGCAAGCACTGCAACTCAAGGAATCTAGGGTTTCAGGAAGAGTCGCTAAAAAAAAATTAATTAAGAATGGAAAAGGAACAAATATGTATTCTTCACCTCCGCTCCCTTGCTTGAACGCCCTCTTCTTCGGCTAGGTTCTTCGTTTCCGTTCTAAGAACTTTTGCCGAAGCCGGCGTCTTTTATAGACCCGCGCCAGTAGTATCTGCGTTCGGCTAGGGTTGAATACAGATTTACCGGAAAATTAGTTTTTTTTTTTCTATTTTTAATAATTGTGAAAATACTAAAATAGACGATTTTCTACGACCATTAAATCTTTAGGTGGTGAATCAATTATTGTCGTCAAAAAAGCCCTATATTTATTTATTTTAAAAAAAAGGCCCTATATTTAGTTAATCTATAGTTAGATCAACTTGCCTTGGTACGCCTAACGGTGAATGATTTATATTTTTATTTTAAAAAATATGATAAAATTTTATTTTCAATTGAAAATATCGAAGCTATATATGCATATATATGTTATTTATTTAAATGTCAAAACATATATTTAATATAATTTAATATAAATGTTAGATTCTATGATTTGACAAAAGATATGTAGAATATAGTGCAAGGTGATATAAATAAAAATATTTAGGTGTTAAATATGTAAATATTAGTATTTTGAGTGACATGTATGTAAATCCTTGTAAAAGAAAATTAAAAAAATCATTACTTGTTATAATCATAATCTTACCTTTGATTGAAATTAACTAAAATGTTACAAATTTGTTGTATGGGATGAGGGCAACGCACGCAATTTTAAAATGTAGAGGCATCATTTTTTTTAAGACAAATAAGTGATTTGTAGTCTAATTCATCTAATTATTCTTATAATGATATATATCATTGATAAGACAACAAAAATAGTCATGATCAGGCACCAATCTCAATACTTATTTGAATCGAAAACTTTTAAAATTAAATTTGGAATCATCTAAAGTCCAATCTTAGTAAGCTTATACTCAAGCTGAACGTCTCGACAAGGCAAACCGAACGACACCAAAATTTGTCTAATTTGAGCTCAAATATGCCCAAATCAATGACTAATACGATGAGCTCAAGATAGCTTAAATTTGGCTTCATTAAGGCACATAAAATGCTAAACAAATGCTCCATTATTAAGAGAATCAATATGGGTCGTCTTAGGGAGCACTAAAATTTTTTTCTGAATTTTCTCCATATTTACAAAACATGTCACTCTCTAAATCTATAAATAGACCCACACTCTCTACATGAAAGAGACTCTTGGAGGAGGAGGCTTGGATATTGGGATAGAGATTCAAAATCTCTAAGGCATGAATTCATGGGCACCACCAGACTTTCGCCGGTCGATCATTGCCGAAAGTCCACTTTGCCACCACTATCGGACCTTTGTCTAACCACCATTGTTGAGCCTCTACTCCAATCTCTGTTGTTGGACTACGGTCCATCCAACCACCACCACATGATAATGATCCCTCTAATATCTGTTACTCACCGACTATGGGCCTTCTGACCGCCGACATCCATCGACTATGGTCCTTCTAATCTCCGTCACTCAACAACGATCCCTCCAACCTCTGTCACCGGATCATGATCTCTCCAAACTCTATCAATTGACTACAGTACTTAAAACACCTTAATTAGACTACAATCCTCCAACTTCTATCTGTTACCAACTATGGTGCATTAGACCTCAATCACCCGAGTAAGATCCCTCCTGTGATGCCCCAGATATCAATAGTGAAAGTATTCATCTATCTCTCTTATCTCTTTTCTTTTTTTTTCTATCAGTCTTTTCATCTTGTTTCTCGTTCAAATCAATACAGTCATCCAGAAACAATTGCATTACAGGAAAGAAGTACAGCAACTACTATAATTCACATATCAACATATATACAATCAACAGAAGCGTCCAAAAGGTCATATACAATAGTCAGACGGCTACAAAACAGAAGTCTACCAAGACTACAAAACAAAGCTACAACAATCGAAGAAGCATCACGTAGGAGGCTCTGCACCTGAAATATTAACCACATATAATGAGCTTACAAAGCCCAGCAGGTCACCAAAGCCTACAACTGAAATCAAAGCACGACACTGAAAATAATATGCAGGTCAATCAAATCAAATCAAATCAATCGTACATGATCAATGAATCAATGCAGATACGGAAATCAAATCAAATCAAATCCATCAATAGTCAATAATCAATACAGCGGTAAAAACATCGATAAATCAATACTCCCTAGCAATCAAATCAGTAAGTGCTTCCAGTCAATATCTATCCATCGTAGCAGTGTCTATCAATCAATACCATCAGTTCAATCAATCGTGTTGTCTAGCCAATTCGTTGTATCTATATCATTCTTGCAAAACAGTCAATTCAATTAGTCAATACGATTTACTCGATATCAATATATAATATTCAATGACACCACGGCAGCGAGAACGGTTCAATAGTGACGACGTACAATGCTACAATAGGGAATCATCTCAATCAATAGAGCACTTTCTAGTCAATTATATCTATCAGCAAGGAAATCCATAGAACAGTCGAATCAACTCAATAAATCAACCTAGCAATTGAAAATAAATCCATACAATGAAATCATCAGGTCAATTAAAATCAATACAATCAGCTTCATAAAAAAATCTATTCTACGATAAATCAAATCCATACGGCAACAATCCATTCAATCAATCAATCGATAATCGGTACGACTAATCAATGTATCAGTGTATCAATAGCATGTCAGAATCTGTCGTATCAATAATATCCATATGTCAATATTATATCCATATCAATGTCAATGTCGGTATCTATCAATATCGATACAATCTATATCAATATCGGTGTCAATATCTATGAATCAATACGCAGAATCCATATCAATGTCGGTGCCGGTATCTATGAATCAATCAAGTCGATAATCTCAATCGGAAAAGCAATACGATAAATCAATTGTAGCAAGTCAATACAATGAAAAATCAATAGTATCAATGATCAATTATCAATCAATAAAGTCAATAAATCCGTTCAATAATAAATCAATGCAATAAATCCATCAATATCAATAAATCAATCAGAAATCAATGAATCAATGCATATCAGGAAATCCATGCGATGTTCATAGGCCGTCCAATTCTGGCGTGCCGGAGCCAGCTTTTCGCTAAAAAAAGCAATTGGTTTGCCCCCTTGTGATAAAACAGCTCCGATGCCAATCGAGGAAGCATCCGTGTCGACGGTGAATAGTTGTTCGAAATTAGGAAGAACTAGGACGGGTGCCGTGGTGAGGGCGGTTTTAATGTCTTGAAAGCTCTGCTGCTGCTCGGTTCCCCAATGGAAGGATTTGGACTTCAAACAGTCTGTGATCGGGGCCATTAGGATGCTGAAATTCCTAATGAAGCGCCTATAGAAATTGGCTAGCCCATGGAAACTGCGAATGTCGAAGAAGGAGGGTATTGCAGAGATTTTGTTCGGGTCTACATGTAAACCATCAGCAGACACTATAAAGCCCATAAATCGGATGGAGCTCGTAGCAAACTCACACTTCGGACGGTTCAGGTATAGCTGATTTGTCTTTAGAATTTTGAACAAGGCCTGTAAATGTTGCAGATGCTGTTCTCGGTTGCTGCTATAAACCAAGATATCGTCAAAGTAGACAATGCAAAACCGCCCGAGGAACGGTTTTAGGATCTCGTTCATCATCCGCATGAATGTAGACGGCGCGTTACACAATCCGAATGGCATCACCTTCCATTCAAACAGTCCATGCGGTGTCTTGAAGGCCGTCTTCCACTCGTCGCCGGGGCGAATACGGATTTGATGGTAGCCGCTCCGCAAGTCTAATTTGGAAAAAACAGAGGAACCCGTAAGTGAATCCAGTAGTTCCTCAATTCTGGGCATTGGAAACCTATATTTGATTGTAATTTTATTTATCGCCCGGCTGTCCACACACATCCTCCATTTGCCACCCTTCTTTGGGACTAGGAGCGCCGGTACCGCACAAGGACTGAGGCTGACTTGTATCAGCTGCTTCTCCAGTAATTCGTCCACGATTTCAGCTAAAATGGACTGCTCCTTCGGGTTGAGGCGATAGTGAGCCAAATTCGGTAGTGTAGCCCCTGGTATTAAATCTATCTGGTGTTGAACGCCTCTTAAAGGCGGAAGCTCCGCTGGCAGCTCCTCTGGAATAATTTCAGAGTAATTCTCGAGAATGGCAGTGATGTCTGCGGCCAGGACTGGGGAGTCGGTGCTGTGATTCACTTCAGCAATCAATATGCCAAACATAGGAGATGGCTCTCGCCAGCACTGTAAAAGAACAGGTCCTGAGACCAGATTAGCCGCAGCTTGTTTGACAGTAAGGTTGGCGGGTGTGGGGAGTTCGGCGTTTCCCGGGAGTAGTCGCAGCTTCCTTCCTTTCCATTCGAACGAATACGCATTGGCCCTTCCTTCATAATGCGCATCCACATCGAATTGCCATGGCCTTCCCAAAATTAGATGGCACACGTCCATGTCTAGGACGTCACAAAGGACCTCGCATGTAAAATGTTTGCCGATAGAGAACGAGACACGACAGGACTCTGAAACAATGATCTCCAAGCCTTTCTTAACCCATCCTATTTTATACGGCTGGGGGTGTTTGGCTGTCTTCAACTGCAGCCCTTGTACAACTGATCGAGAGACTACGTTCTCGGTGCACCCACTATCAATGAGAAGATCACACACCTTGCCCTTGATAGTACATCTGGTCTTGAAAATTGCGTGTCTCTGAGACGGGTTGGGCTTCCTTGGAGCTAACAGCAACCTTTCCATTACTCCTAAAAAAAGTTCCCCCTCATCCGCCTGTATCTCTTCAACTTCCGCCTCATGATTGGCATCAACATCCCCTAGATTTTCCCCGTCTTCAACCTCTGCATATTGCAATTGCTGTCTTTGGAAGCATTCATTGGACTTATGCCCCGGTTGAAAGCACTGAAAGCATTTCAGTAGGGTTGGCCGTGCATATGGGTTGCTTTGAGGAGCTGTTTTTGGTTTATGTGAATCTTTCCCTTCATTTCCAGCATTGACAGAGGATTGTACCGGCATTGACGATGCAGATGGCTGGCTTCGTGCTGCAGCGTGAGAGTTACTCTTAATGCTTCCGGAATTCGCTTCTTGCCAATGCCTCCGAGTGGCTGTCGTTTTTGAGTGTCGGCCTTATTGTACTTCGACCTTCATTGCCAAGTTCACGGCCTGCGGCATAGTCCAAACAGTATTCAATTCTAGTTTATCTTGGATGCTTTCTTTGAGACCCCCAATATACCGAGCAACCAGTTGAGTGCCCGACTCCTGCAGATCGTTTCGCGCGGTCAATCTGTTGAACTCTTCGGTATACTCGCTTACCGTGCGCGGCCCTTGCACACAGTGCTGATATCTCATGTATAATATCTGCTCAAAATCAGTAGGCAGGAACTGAGCTCTCAGTAATTGTTTCATTTTTCCCCAATCGCTTATCCGGCTGCGACCTTCTCGTCTTCTGGATTGTAAAATCTGCTCCCACCAGGCACTTGCTCCCCCCTTCAATCTACAAGCCACATATTTTACTTGTTTTTCAGGAGGTATTTCCATATAGTCGAAGAAATTTTCGGCCGCTCTTTCCCAATCAAGATAGTCTTCGATGTGCAGGTGTCCATCGAAGAATGGAATATCAAGCTTAACCTTGAATTCCCCTGCGGTTTGCTGGAACTGAGGTACCCGTCGACGCCTCTGGTCATTAAGCGTCCATCCTTCATCAGTTTCCTCTCCACTGGACCATGCGGGATTCAGGTACCCACGTCGCGGAGGAGTTTCCTCACCTGAATCAATTGGTTCCGCTTGATTTCTCGGAATGTATCTTCCCTGATTACCGATTGCATTTCGTCTCCTCGGAGGAAGCCTATTTGCAGGTCTTTCTTCCCGATGGAAGTTCAGCGGAGCTCTCGCCGGATTGGGATTAAACCCACGACGAACCTCGACAGCCAGCTTCTGAATGTCTGCCGCCAACTCGTCGATCCTCTGATTGACTTTGTCCTGACTCGCCCACAGCATATCAATGGTGCGAGTTTCTTCCCTCACCGGCTCTTTGCCACGGTCAGTCATCTTCTTCCTGCCTTAGCTCTGATACCAACTGATAGCCTTGTACAGGATCGGTAGTTACCTGGAAGAAAATGCACAAAACAGAGCAAACAACACAGGGAAAGGTATAGGAATACCTCTGTATATTCTGTATTCTTCTTGAGAATAACTAAAGGAGATGACAAAAAGCTCCGTACCTCTTGCTCCTTTCTCCTATATGTAACTCTTTGCTATACTATTTTTCTAAATACCATAAAATAGTAAATAAAGCTAAAAGTAATGTCAGAGAAAAAGCAAAAAGTAATACTAGGTAGTGGAACCATCAGCAACGGTAAAGATATGATATGCCGCCGGCTTGGTTTATTTAACCTGCACTGCATCAGCTAGGCAAAACAGCCATAGTTATGTCTATTTGTATAGGTTAGCTCTAACATACCCCAAATTAATTAATCAAGAATCTAATTAAAATTATGAGAATTGTTAAATTAAAAACAATTTAAAATCCTATGATACATTCATATCGGAATCAAAATATAGATACGAAATGCCCCGAACACGAGATACAAATATTATTAAAAAAATAATATTAACACACATTAGACGTGTTAGTAATGTACTAAATTTATTAGGCATGCAAGCTTACTATTTATTTTAATTGAACATATGATATGACTAACACATTTTGGATAAAAATATGTCCAACATTACACACTTCATTATTATAACATATTGGTGCATCATAATCACCAATAGATGCACATCATCACCTAATATTAACAAAAATCAGGAAGCTAATCTTGCCAAATTTTTTGCGCAAAATATTATTTATACATATATGGGATACAGGTAATAACGGAGAAATTATTCTGTGCGGATGCCGAAGACCAATCAGAATGCGCCACGTCATCCCCCGTTGGATACCGCGGCTCAATACCGCTCGGTTCCGCTGCCATGACACATTCTAGTTGGTCTCCGGATGATGAACTGCATTAGGACCAAGGAATCACGGAATGATAAGATAAGACTCTGTGTAAAGGACGCCTCCTGTAGAATGAGATGAATTTTCTCTATATCATGTATAATTTTCCCATTTCATAGATAATTTTCCCATTTCATAGTGGATTTTCACCTTATTGCACCGTAAGACTTGGCTGCAAAACAAAATCTTGTAAATCTTGTTGTCTGAGATTACATATTCAAATATGTTTAAACTACAAAATTGTCACCAGGTTTAGTTACATCAATCCAGGTAATTTTCTATTACATCCTTATTGCCAAAGAAGCTCTGAATCATCTTAAATTCCCAGATAAACAAGACAAATCCCAGATGAATCATTGTCATGCTTCATAATGAAGCATAAAAATAAAATAAAATAAAATAACAGTTCATAATTAACAGCTGTAAATATGAATCTCCTAGTTTTTCCTATTAACAACCTGCATGCCCAGAATTTTCAAACTCAGGACCGTTAGATTATTTGACAACCAGCTGAAACAGGTGGCGGTCAGTTTTTATCACCCACACGATCTTCATCAGAAGGTATCTTTTTCGAAGAGGTGAAAATTCCAAACCGAGGTGAAGGTGGGCCTGCATTACTAGACTTGCCGTTATCAACATAATCTGGAGCTACTCTGATGGAATTATCTCTAGTTGAAACCCTTTGTTTCATCTGATCCTCAGATGAAATGGTTTTGGGAACACTGAAGATTCCATAATTTGATGTAGTTGGAGAATTAGATTTGCTCATTCTATCCTTTGATATTTCTTTCATGTTCTTAACATCAAGAGGTGAAGAGGTTTTTGCAGAGCTGAAGACTCCATAGCTTTGTTGAGGGACATTAGGTGCATTTGGACTACCCATGGTTGCACCTCCAGCCTTTCTTCTGTCATTTGAACCAGAACTTTGTGAGGCACTGAAAACACCATGGCCAGAAGACACCGAATTCGGATAATAATTTGCATTTGCCGGTCGATTATTTGGATTTGATGGACCACATCTTTCGACTTCGCGTCTGTTGCTTCGTTCTGGAATCCTCTGTTGATTTCCAGTTGCTACATGCCCAGGAGAAAAACGATCTTGGTTTGTAGGTCTAATCTGATGGAATGTTGAATTACTTCCTTTGCTATATCGGTTAGTCTCAGTAACATAAGACTCTGTCTGTGAGGGATAAAACCCAGCAGAATTCCTTCTACTTGCTGTGTTAATACTTTCATCTGAAGTAGACATAGTAACACTTGAACTTGTATGCTTAGTATTGAAAGTAATCTCAGCCTTGATATCATCAGTTGTATTGGTACCTGACCACTCCGTAACAGCACCAAAGCCATTGCCGACCACCTTCGGTGGCAAGGTGGGGCGCGAACCAGAAAGATTTGGGGTATTTGTTTTAAATTGTTTAGATGGGTTATCAATTTCAGTTTCAGAATCAGATTCAACAGCCTCCCATTCTTCTTCAGTCTGGCAATCATCCTCATCTTTACTATTGTTATCTGCTGCAGCATCAGAACGAGTACTTAGGACACTGCTAACAGTTTCCACAGCTTTGCTGACCTTCTTTCCTTTCTTAGATCCAAACTTAATGTGTTTTACAATTACATAGGCATTTTTGGTATCCAGATGTGGGCCACTTTCAACAATTGATATGTCTTCTATCTGTACAGGTGAATTCCTTCAGAAAGTTGGCAACCAAAGTAAAACCTAAAGTCTCTGATGGAAAATGCAGGACTAAGAAGCCGTTTGGGACAGCTTTCTTCATGCTTCTTAAAGCGGCTTTCTAGTACAAAAAATAATTTTTTTGTACTAAAAAGCTGCTTTAAGAAGCAACAAGAAAGTCGTCCCAAACGAAGCCTAAGACTAGTAGAAATATATATATATATATATATAAATGAAAATATTGCTGACCAGTGATAGAAGATTCAATAGCAGGCCTCCCAGATCTCCATCATCTTTACCTGTGGGCATGGCAGTACACTTACATGAAGAAAACATGTCAGCTTATGTATCAGACCGTTGGTTGCATGGGACTAGAAAAGACGAATTAAAAATTACAAGGACCACTTTAAATGATCAGAGAAGGAATAAATGGATGCAAACGACATTTTAACACACCAAAATGTGGCAGTGTAGCAAGAAAAGTTACAACGAGGGAATTCAATAAATTCTATTCATAAGCTGTTCCTTCCTGGTACTAGTTATGGAATTCTAAAGATGAGTGATGTTTCCGTCCACTGCTATGGTACTGACTGAGCAAGCAAAAACCAAAATCTGGAATTCTCAATAATTGGTAAATCTTGAACCGCAAGCCAAAGTAGGGTAAAAAACTAAGCTTCCTCACCCATTGAAACGAACTGGACTAATATAAAATGTTGCCTTTTGCTGAAGCAGAAAAAACGGGGAAGAAAATATTCCAGTTTTGCATTTAATTTTACAAGATTGGCGATTAATGAATTTTCGAATTCTCATTAGAATAGCATGCAATCCTTAACTTTTTGAAATTACTAAGAATACAGTGATACATAAGTTGAAAAAAATAAAAAACTATAACATTGAGAAGATGTATTAACGCTAAATCATTAATGGAATAAAGAACGAGTAAATGATACAGAATTTTAGTAAAAGTGATAATAATATCACTCAATATTTCTAAAAGTTAAATGGTACTTAGGAGTGAAAGATTAAGTATAAATATGAATCAATTATATATAATAACAAGAATATAACTGTAATAATTCTAATCCAATATTGCTAGAAGATAAAATAGTACCCCGATGTGATATATTCAAGTATCAATTTGGATCTATTACATAAAATAATGGTATAAAGACGAGTTTTTGCTCAGGAAAAGAAAACCACTTAGCTGTGAGCCACTTCGACATGCAAATGAAAACTCATAAGTAGTTTTTTTAAGCAGGTTGGGTTTGTTTTAACAAATTTTTTGCTGATGTTTAAAATAGAGTTTATTTAGATCTACAGTCGTTGAGACTCGCCATAACTGTTAGCCCTCACAATTAATCGCATCTCCAATTCACAAGAGAGTACTACTGATTAGTAGGTTGCTTAGTCTCAGATTTTGGCATTTAGGGATGATCAAGTGTGAAATGATTGGGGGAGGGCGAAGGGGTTAAATTCGGCCAACATCTCATGACTCTGTCATCTCAACTAAACCAATGAACACATTGTACCAATATCACAGAGCTGTGAAGTCTTACCTCCTAGTTTGCTAGCCAAAGATGAGCTTCCAAAGTTGGCATCAACTCATTTGTTAACAGAGAGCTAGTTGTACCAATTTTCATCGAATAGTTCAAGGGGCACACAACATAGCAGCTTGCCTTTCAGACGTACTATAGATGACCAACAAGAGATTAGAGGTATGGTGTGGCCATCAATTATTGATGAATGTTAGCTTGACTCAAAAAGGCATGGTTAAGACTGGAATTTTTTTGTTTTGCATGCCTTTCAGCAGGTATTAAAGGATTCATATCTTGGCTAGAAAGTATTAGAAATGATCTTTTTTAATAAATTTAAATGAGGATTTGACTTTTAATAGGATATAATTGAGAAAAATGATTCATGTAGCCGATTCCACATAGTCAGATAAAAGCTTGATGTTGATGTTATTGTGTGGATATAGTAGGTGAATTTGATTTTAAATGGTATACTTATTAATACGGAAGCTGGCCCAAATTTAGGTTGAGTTGGGGTTTACATCGATTGGAAGGTCCATAGGTGAGACTTATAACATTTTGGTCAAGGAAAGCACAATAAAGAATTTTATAATGTTACCCTACATGTAAAGTATCTGGAATAATTAAATTGGTTTGATGAGCTTTGTTGATTTTTGATGGTCTTGTTAATTGAATTGCTGCTTAAATCAACCGGAAGGCTTATATTTTGATTTAATGAGTTTGTTAGTTTTATGCGGACCCTATTAAAGGAGATAAGGTTTACAACCTTAACAACAAGGAAAGCACAATAACGAGTATCATAGCATTACCCTATAGGGATGGTGGCTCGAGTCATTCAATTGCTTTCTTTTGTTTTTTGATGGAGCATATTGAGGTTATGACACACCATGACCTTCAGATCAACTAAGAGATGACAACATTGAACTAGGGTCATTTCAAACAAGTCTACACTACGTGTATTTGAAGATAAAATGATCAAAATGAACCCTCAACTCTTTGTGAGGTATCAAAATAGTCTCCAACTTTTTTGAGGTACTAATTTGGTCTCTCACCTCTTTAAAATGGGATATTTTGTCCTAACATCTAATGTTGGAGTTAATGATGTTAAATGTAATCGTAATTGGGTCATGTTTTAATTAAACATTTATTAAATATAATTTCAAGTAATTGTAATTTTTATAAAAAATTTTGTTAAACATTTCTTTAATAAAAAAATTAATAATAATTTTAGTTTTAATTTAAAAAATTTTAGTCACATTTCATAAAATATGATATTTATTGATTTAGAGAAATCAAATGCAAATAGATGTTATTTTCAACTTAGTCACACATATTTTTACCAACCATATTTTATAAATTCTGACTAAAACTTTTTAAATTAAAACTTATTAATTTTAGTTTTAATGAAATGTCTAATAAAATTTTTACAAGAAGAATATTACTTTACATCAGCATTCTACCAAATGGGTATAAAAATACATAGTACACTTGATTTTCTCCAAAAGTAGAATGGTTCGTAAGTTGAGATCAAGTACAACTTCTTATATGAACCGATAAGTTTCAAGTAAGCAGAAGAAACCCCCCTCCACTACTGTCCCTCTATTCTCCTCATCATTCACTTATTTTTTCCCCTCATTTATTTGAAGAAAGTGAAAGAGGGTGCATAACATTTGCTAAACAATACTAGTTTTTCACATTTTAATAAAGGAAGGAAAGAAGAGCACACTTAGACGGATCATGTTTCATAATCATAACAATAATAAAACCTGAGAAGAAGCTTCTGAAAGAACCACAATAAAAAGTATGAAAAATAGGTTAAAAAGCTTTTAGGTTTTTTAAAGAAAGGACATAGCCTCTACCTTCACCCGATAACCACGCTCCATCAATCTCTTAACTGATTCTGCTTTGATTTTCAGGTCCTTTAATTCCTGGAAGAGAAATATATTGACTAATATGCTATTGTAGCCAAACAAAAGTTATATAGAGATGACTTCACAGTTTAAACCGAAGCTACATTTTGCAGAACTCATCATTAACACAAAATAAAGAAAAATTTTGGAACAAGTGTTAAAAATATAGAATAAACTGAATTTAGAAATAAAATGGTTCATTTAATAGCATGCAGTTACATAGCCTTTCTCACGTAAGATTTCCAACTAAAAAACTCCCTAGCATTGATCAAGATTTTGCAGTATGAGCTGTACACTTCATTCAGATTGACAGCAAATAAAAAAAAAATCAGTGTTATAGGCTAGTCAAATAATCATTGGGACTAATCATTGTGATAAAAAGGTCAAATTTGAGATCATTTGGTTGCTTCTAAAGAGAAAACATAATTTAGGACCATTTTTAGTCTAAAAAAGAAATCATCACTTTGGAGTGATTTTGATGGCGTTTGTAGAGTTTAAAACCTAGATTGATTTTTAATTACATCCAATCAAATGATTATCTAATAAATTCATCATTTTACAATACACAAATTTTTAACTTAAAATCAAACATGTGTGTTGACCTCCACCTACACTCCAAAAGTTTACATGAGCAAAGGAGGGCAACCGACCATCATTGGCAAGTGCTACACTGCACAAGATTGCCTGAACGACTTCCAATCGTCAAACAGAACAAAAGCTAAATGCCATTGACGTATATAACAATTTTATCTAACAAAACTAACTTATATGATTATGGATGCAGTTCAAGTTTAATGCAGCCTAAAGCAGACTTAAGCACAATATTCATCAACTCTCATTATCAATTATAAGATTGCAAAGCTCCTCCACATATTTGAAATAGGCTTGACAATTTACAAATCTTCAAATTAGATTCTTGATGCAATGCAGACCATTCAAAGGATTATAAATTAAAGCATCCACATAACCTCTAATTTCCTCATCAATCTCATAAGATCACTAGAATCATTAATTTCATTATATTCCACGCGTTTATAAGTAAGTTTCTACTGGAAAAATTACTAGCATAATAACCAAAGTTATGACAATTAAAACATAAATTTGCAAAAATCATAGACCCAAAATCATATGCAATTAATTTCCCCTTAGTATCATTATTAATTATAATGTTTTTTTTTTTTTGGAACTTTTATTAATTATAATGTTACACCTAAGATGTAATAAGTGCAACAGACTAAATTTATTGCTTTGACGAAATGATGACCGTTTTAGTCGCATTCTTAAAATTTGTTCAAAGTCCAATGGAAGTTCAAGATTATGTTTAAGTGATGAAATATAATGACATGACACCACTCTTGATATCAAATATCAAATTAGACTTAAATCAAAAAATTGTTATTTGAGGACCTTCAACAATCTAAAAATGTAACATCAATTCTTCAAATTAGTCCAATTATTCAATAATAGTTTTGATAGATTTCTTTAACGAATTTAACGAATTAAATTTATCAAACAAACAATCATGATATGACAGAAAAATAGTTTTTTTTTTAGTTCTTTATTTGTAGACCATATGGTAATAACTTTCCTTTCCAATCCTTCCCTTGATACTTATATGCTTAAACAACAAATTTTAGCTTGACTAGTTAAAATTTTCCATAAATCACAATTGTCGTTCATCAAATATATTTTGACACTCATAAATACTCTTTTAAGGTTATGCTAACTTTTAACTTTTATGATGGCTATGTCATCATTTATGAATTTTCTAACTCGAATACTTACTATTTTCTACATAAACAAAGATTCAAGTAAATTAGTTCATCATTGTGATTAGAATGCACTTCAAGTTCACGGGCATAGCTTGATAGGCCTTTAAACTATCAATTCTTATTTTAACCAAATTAATGCCAACATTCATAACTACTCTTTTATGGTTACGTGAACTTCAATTTTTTTTGCTGTCATCATCTACATCTAGTAACAAGTCAGTGAAAGCTTTAGGATCAATTTTAACATTATAAGTAGAATTTCAGCTTTAATTTTTATGATTGTCATCATTTGCATCAAAATTTTCATACTTTTCATAATAATTTTCATAAGCATTAATAATTTTCATAATAATTTATCTATGTTAGCATTAATAATTTTCATAAGCAACATTCGTTCATAACCTTGAGTTGTCTAACTTAAATACTTTTCTATCTCCTACCGAAATTAAAATTCAAATGACTTGATTCATCATTGTGATTAGAATCCACTTCAAATTAACAGACATGGCTTGATAGGCATTTAAACTATCATTTCTTGTTTTAAACAAGTTAATGTCGTCATAAATTTGACTTCGCTTATTCAATAACCAGCCACTTGATTTTACAAAGTTGTTAGAATCCATCTCTTTCACGCTCAGTCAAATTACCAAGATAATTAGACTAGCTTCAAAGTGAAATATTAAAATAATCTAAAGCTATGGTACCAATTTGACGCAAGCAACTCAATGTCAAGTTTCATAATACCACTAATATGATAGGCAAACGAATTCATGTAAAGAAAAAAACTGAATATTCGTAGATCACAAGTTACCAACTAAACCAACGGCTTGCTTTCTTTAAATATAAACTAGTACTAGAGTTCAAAATCAAATGATAATGAAAGGACTAAATAATTTAAAATTTTCAACAAGCAATTGGAAACAAATAAATCACTAAGAAATTTGAATTTAATTTTGACAAATTAGATTTGACAAGTAACACTTTTTGATCAAATCAAGAGCACTAAACAAGTCAATAATAAATAATATATATAAAATAAAAACAAAAATGCCAAAATAAGAAAATCAGGTTTCAAGCCAGTGTAAAGAGATGACTTCCCTCGTAATCAAATAGTTGCAATTATTCCAGGCTGAAAGAAATCACCACATCCAATTTGCACTCATAAGATTAAAACTTCAAAGAAAAATTTTATTCAAGTCAAAGTTTTGAGTGACATGACTCAAATCAACTATTTGTAGACTCTTCAATAATTAAGATGAGATTCGCATAAGATCAATTCCAATTAAAATTTAAATTAATTTCTAATTTAATTTAAAATTCTCAAAACAGACAATCATTGATCCATTTTAATTTTCTAGTTCAAAAAAAAAATTTGTACTGAAATATTGCTTTAAAAAACAGTAAAAAATCTGTCCCAAACGAATATTTAGTCACATAATTACCACATCTTCCAAAAAGAAAGCAGGCAAATTGCATGCTACAAAGACTCTTCAGCAGAAAACCTGCAAGTCATGCCCAGACCCCTCAACAAGAACCACAACTTCAAAATCCACAGATCAGACTTCTTTTCTAAAAGCAACAACCGCCTTTCCAAAACAATCAACACATAGATGCTAAGAACTAACGCAGAACACTTCTAACCTATATGCATCGCCCCAAAGCTGAAGCCAAACCTTGATTTTCCAAAACAGAGAAACTATCACTTAAAAACTCCACATTATCCCCTCCAAATTTTAACAATGTACAGTGGGAATTCATTCAAACTGAATGGAAACTAACCTGATGCCAATTATAAAACTAACCTAAAGCTAGAAAATAAGGCACAATCTCTTTCAGTCAGAATCACTAGCATGTTTTAAAACACAAACAAATCAAATAAAAAAAATCGAATAATGAAAAAAGAAAATAATTAAGCTGATTGCATTAAAACTAATGCTTGATGTGATGATTAATAACGTAAAGATTTCCATCAAAAACAAGTTGAAGTAAAACTAATTTGTCATACAAATTTTGGATTTGTATTTACTAATTATTAAAACATCATAAAAATTTAAGAGATGACTTTAAAACAGAAATTAAAAAAAAAAATAAAACGAAAATTGTAACAATTTATAGCAATTTGCATGTAGTCTATATCAATAAATGGCCCAAGAGTAATGACCATACAGCTTGAATAAAAAGAGTGGAACAAAAATACTTACAGTTTTAGCTTTAAAGCGAACCTCTTTGTTCTCTCCATTACGCAATGCAATTGCAGCCTGCAAACCAAATAGGCATTGGCTAAACATATTATTTCTTATAGATACTTGCAACTGATGACAGGAGAATCATCATAGTAGAGCCAAAATATTTTGATGCATAATACAACCAGGTATCCTTCATAAAATTACCTTTAATGAATGCGTTTTATGTTAGACTCATATTCATATCATGCATTTTTTTTTTTTTTGCAAGTGATGTATTTCAAAAATGGACACTTAGACATGCAAGAATAACAATCAAATATGCCAATTGGTGGCTCTGTTATAAAATATTTAAAAAATATAAGTCAAATATGTCTCAATTGTGGGTGGATATGCCTACAATCTGACCAAATAATAAGGATACAATGAGATACGCTTAGGATGACAATATTGGCTTCTTTTAATCACCATGCAAATTAACTCTAGGTGCGGGCAAGGGACCAGCTGACTTGATTGACGCAACCTTCTGTACCAAGGATTGGAAAAGGAATTCCAACCCCAACTAAAAAATAGACTCAGCCTGACTAAGGACAATTAATCATGCAGCTCAGGTTTGGGCAGCCAAAACTCCATTCGGCCTTAAGACTACCAAAAAAATAAATAAATAAATATTTACCAGTTGAGCTAGCCTAACTTGACTTTTATCATAGATTCCGGGTTCGAGCACGAAAAACTGATCCAATTATTAGGCCACGCTGGTTTTGGGTAACGTTTACAAGAGTCGCTCAATTTGATCTAGCTTGAACTTGATCTGCCAGCCTAGTTCACAGCTCTAAAGCATATGTAGCTGTTTGCATGTTCGCAAATACAACATTAGCTATAGTCTAGCCACATGGTTGACAGAAGCCATCCTATGGAAGTTCAACATTCTTAGCATGTATAAATTCTAGTTTTCTATTAGAGTTGTTATAACATTTGCAATTGTCAATGTCATTTTTTTATGAGTTGCATGTATTCTAGTTTAAATCCTATGGAAGTTCAACATTCTTAGCATGTATAAATTCTAGTTTTCTCTTATAGTTGTTATAACATCTTGCAATTGTCAATGTCATTTTTTTATGAGTTGCATGTGTAACACAACCATAAGGGTAAATTTGTCTTTCGAAATTCCTAGCTATTATCATAAATATCACTCTAGAATCATTTGGAACATGATGAATGAATGAAAATTAGCTTTCTGTCCCATGAGAATTCCGACCAAGTCATATAAAGTTTGAATTTGTGTGATACGATCATTCTTGCTCTGAGAGTATCAATGAGCTGTGCGAGACTAACAGAAATTCTTCTCCAATGTACTTGTCCTTCCTTCAGTTGAGTTAGACCTGTCCTCATCCTTTTACTACATTCACTGTAATTTTTTCTTTCTCCACCACCATTCTTCTCCCCACTCTAGGAAATTTAATTTTTCATTAAAATTTTTTCATAAAAGATTAAATCCCAAAATGGCCCCCCAAATCATTCCGTCGACGGACAATTTAGTCTTAGAGTATTATATTTCTACAATTTAGTCCCTCAACTATATAAAATTAATTCAAAATGGTCCATGACTCAAAATGAATCCAAGTTTAGCCCTCAAATATAGAAATTTGATTCCGATTTTGATCATTAGGGATCATTTTAGATCAATTTTGTATAGTCGGGCACTAAAGTGGTGAAATATGATACTCTAGGACAAAGTTGACCACATAAAAATGATCGAGGGACCATTTTAAGATTTAACCATTCAATAAAATAAAAACTTTTCAAAAAACCTATCATTTGATGTTGTTAGCCATGTTCAATTTTCCAAAGAACTATCTTATTTTTCTCAGATGAGATGATCTAAGAAAGGAGCTTCTTCAAGGCCAACGGTAGCCCAATTTGAAAAAAAAAAAAGAGAAGCCTACCTTGCCGTCACTAGATCAACCATTGCAGCCCTACTCTTGTCACTACAGCCCCACTAGGGATCTAAATGAGTCAAACTGACTCGTGAGCCAGCTCAAGCTCGACTTGATAACAAGCTCGTGAGCCGAGCTTATTGAGATGCGAGCTCGAGTTTGAGCTTGATGAGGCTCGGCTCGTGAGCTTGTTCGTAATTATATAAGTAAATGATTTTTTTTCTTAAACAAATAAGCAAATAATTTTTTTCCTCTAATAAAATCTGCTAGTATAGAGAAAAGCAGCCAACTTTTCCCCAAAAAATAGTCATGATTTGAAAAGATCTTATATTTCCAAGAAAATACTGCTTTACATTAATGAGGTTGTGGCATTTAAAAAAAAAACACAATTATTGTAGTGGTTCTAAAAAAAAAAGCTTCCTCTTCTCACCTCATGCAACAACCAAATCGGGAGTTCACCGGTCAAATCATGAGCTAGAGACATGTAGTGACGACATGCCTTCTTCTCCAGCAGCATGCGATCTTCCTCTCTGGTGATATCACGTAAGGCTATCTTTTGCGTGATCACATGAGCTGCTCACGAGCCCATTTTATTGCCATGAGCCGAGCTCGACCTCACCTTTTGAGTTCGAGCTCACAATTTGGCTAACAATTCAAGCTCGAGTTAAGCATGACTGGAGCTCGACTCAACTCGTTTACACCCCTAGCCCCCACTTCTGCTCCATTGCTAGTCCACGAATTCATGCAAGGAATTGAAACTCATCTATTCTTTCTTCTTTCCAGTTTTTGCAATTTTTTCTTTATTCAATCTTGCTATGAACTCATACAAAATAAATTTAAAGCTGCTTCCACAAAATGTCCATTTAATTCATTTTATTTGAAACATCCTCACCATTACAATTCAAACTCGGTTCAACTAAACAATTCTCTTTTTTTCCGGCGTAACCTTTAGAGAATAATTTTCACACCTACAAGACGCTAAGGTCTACAAGTTGTTATGAGAAGAGATGACAAAATGGGCATAGGAGTGCAAGACGCTAGGATCTCATCATCATCACAAACAAAATGATTTTTAGCATTCTCTCAACAAGTTGGGGTTAGGTTCATGAATCTTGTTATCCATTCATTTATGATGATTTCTACATGTGGTGCCAACCACTTGTTTTAAGCAGCTTAGATATCACAGTTTCTAATCAAATTAACTTCAATAAACCTATTTTTTCTTTGATGTCTTTCATATTAATTTTATCTCCTTATCTTATTCAAACCTTGCCTTCAACAACTGTCCATGTAGACCAATACTAGGAACATCTTATTTAGCCTTGGGAGAAAACTAAGCATCGAAAACAAAACATATAATAAAGATATTATCAAGCAAAAGAAACATAGTTTAAGAAACCATGTAGCCTAAAGAATAACAACAACATGCAGCAAAAAAATTCATAACACAATAGATGGTAATGCCAAGAAATGTAGTGTCAATATCATTAGCCTTTTCCCAGCCTATGATGCACTGATACGTCTATTTATGAAGGCGTGTTGTGTGACTTGTGTCTGATGCGTATCAAAAATGGATACGCACCAAATACGAATTAGACATGTGTTCGATATGACAAAAACGTATCCCATTAAAATAATATTTAAATTGAAAAGGATACGTGTATCATACATGAGTATCCTATTAAATAATTAGAAAAAAAATACATAAAGAAACATCCCGCCCGTATTTTGTATTCATTTTTGCGAGTAAGGGCTAGGGCTTTCGTTTACGTGTTTGTATATCTTCGTTTATAGTAGCAGTCGAAGCCAAAAGGAAGGTGATACACGAGCAGAGAAGGCGAAGGAGCGTGTGTCTTCGATCATCTGCTTCGTCTTCGTTGTTTGCTTCATCTTCATGAGCAACACACTAGCAATGAGACGGAAACAACGAACATATGCGAGCAGGCGAGGTGATGAGCAATTGAAGGTAAACTTTTGTGTCTTTTTCATTTTCTCATGCAGACAAGGCGCCGAGGACACATGAACGTTATCTATTTATCATTTCGTGCATTTTGAACGTCCATCCTCTGTGCAATTGTCGGATAAGAGGAGGGCTATAGTTCAGGGTTCAGCTATCGTGAGAGTAACCGCAAAAATGATAAAAGCAAAATGTATTCAACTATTCTGCTATTTTTTGGGGTTTTAGTTTGCTACATAATTTTTTTTAATTAACTATTTTTCCTAGCATAACTCCGCAGTTAACACTGTCGTTGTTAGGTTCCAATTCCTGGATGAGGAAAATGGAGGATTTTGTTAGGTAGTCAACAGTTAACATAAAACTTCTCGAATAATCATGACATGAATCATTTAATACATTGTGTTAATTGTAGGGTGTTCCCTGGAAGAGATGCACTATATTGCTTGAATACAGTGAGAAGTGTGTAAGGGCCGCTGCACCGGTGCTCCGGTATAATGTTAAATAAGCATGGGTTCTCACATCACGGACGGATGTGGGCAAAGAAGCTAATCCATGAAAATAGAATTAGGATAGGAAATTGGAATATATGTTCTCTTAGATTTACACTATGGTGTTCAGGTGGTGGGCGTACTAGAAATGGGTTTGATGTGATTATAGATAAGAGTTTGAAGGATAATGCAGTAAAAATTAATAGAATTGTAGAAAAAATTATAGCTTTAAATATTATTGTTTATGCTAAATTATTAATATCATAAATGTTGATGCTCCTCAAGGAAGTTTGGATATATATTCAAAATTGAAATTTTGAAATGACTTAGATGAATTAAAACAAAATATACCTTTTGAAGAAAGTGTTTTTGTTGAAGGAGATTTAAATAGACATGTTGGTAGAGAGGTAGAAAATTTTAAAAGTATTCATGGTGGTTATAGGTTTGGAGCGACTAATGAAGGTAGTATGATTATATTAAATTTTTTTCTAGCTTATGATTATATAATTACTAACACCTTATTTAAGAAAAGAGAGGACCATCTCATCACTAATAAGAATGCATATAGTAAAACTCAAATGATTATTTTCTTATAAGAAAAATAGATCGTTTAGATTGTAAAATTATTTTGAGCGAAAGTTTATGTAAATAGTATCGCTTATTAATTTTGGACATTAAAATGAAGGGGTGGAA